ATAAATGCTTCTTAATTGATTTTTTACAGATAATGTCTGAATAACTGAAGTGATTTTTTTCCCAAGATCACAACAGTCAGAATTAGAACCTTGCCTCCCCAGTCTGGAGTCCTCTCATTATAGCATAGATTCAGTCTTGGAAAGGAATTTAGAAATTATTAGTTTAACCTTCCCTTTTCACAGATGAAGACCCTTCCCCACATAGAAAGGAAGTGACTTGTCCAAAGTCCTGCAATTGGTAATTGGCAGAGCTAGGATTCAAAGCCTGGTCCTCTGACTCCAATGCTCTTTTTCCTACTTACACCACTGGACATGGACCTTCCCCTCTTTACTCCCCCACTCCCAACTGGAATTCTTGTAAAGGATCTACAAAGCTGTATATAAGTGCATACAAAAGTAGATGTGTCTTCTACAGATGGGAGAATCTAACTGGCACATATACGTGCCACTTTTCGAATGTTCATAGCTGCAGCTAAATTAAAATTTTATTTCAAAATGTTATTAAACTTATAACTTTAGTCGTTATGTATTTTCTTAGTTAATGGGTACTACTATCCCCATTCCATATGCAAAGTTATACAATTTTTATTTCAATTTTAAATCAATTTTTATCTTAAAAAGTTCTACACATTGAAAAATTTGGGAGCCACTGAAGCTACACCATCACGGCTCTCACAATATTGGCAGTCATCTGGTCTAATCACACCTGGAAAAGAAAATCCCCTCTGACAATATCCCTAACAAGTAAATGGTCATCCTTGACTTGAGTCTTGTTTTTGCTTCTTTCATCCTTACCCCTCTGAGGAATTCCTTCTTACATCGTCCGCGATTCTTTATATGAACCAAATAAGGTCACGTCACGTCCCGGGCTGTTTACAACTCGTCCCACCCCTTTGCCAGCAAAGGGCCTTCCTATCTTCTCAACAGTGGAGCAATGGATACGGCGCTGGGACTAAAGTCAGAAAGGTGAACTCAAATCTAGACTCAGACATTTACTAGTTGTGTGACTTTGGGCAATTTGCGTGACCTCCGTTTGCCCCAGTTTAATCAACCATGAGGATCAAATGAGATAATCTTTGGAAAAGAAGTTAGCACTATGCCTGGCACATAGTAGGCTCTATATAAATGCAAGCTAGTATTATTATTACTGACATTTATATCATGTTTTATTGTTTGTTAATAGCTATACATGTAGTACCTCATTTGATCCTCACAAAAAAGAACACAACAACCCTGGAGGGGGTAGGTGTTATTATTCTCATTTTACAGATGAGGAAACTGAGGCAGAGAGTAGTTAGTTGACTTGTCTAGGATCACACAGCTAGTAAGTGGCTGAAGCAGGCTTTGAACTCAAGTTTTCCTGACTCCACCCACTATATTACCTACCCATCATAAAATATAGAGCCCAGGAAGGAAACCCTTAATCTAGCCTGGTAAGCGTAAGGGTCCACATGCCCCTGATCATTTAGGAAACCTGTTTGAGCTGATGAAGAGGACATGGCAGTGAACCTACTTCCAGGAAAGCTGTTGGATTTGTGGCTGTTCTCCTGCAGTGACAGCTGCTGACTACCAGAATGCCTGGTTGTTCATTAGCCCCTGGGGTTTAGAGCTGGAAGCAGTCTTTAGAGAGGCTAGCACAATCTCCTCAGATCAAAGCCTATTATTTTCTCTTTTTTTTTCCTTTCTTGTCATTTTCCCCCTTTGTTCTGATTGCTCTTGCACAACATGACTAATGTGGAAACATGTTTAACATGATTGTACATGTATAGCCTCTTCCAGACTGCATGCCATCTTGGGGAGGCAAGAGGGGAGGAAGGGAGAAAAAAAAATTTGGAACTCAAAATTTTATGAAAATGAATGTTGATAATCGATCCATTGTGGAGAGCTATTTGGAACTATGCCTAAAGGGCTATAAAAATGTGCATACCCTTTGACGTAGCAATAGCACTTCTAGGGCTATATCCCAAAGAGATCATACAAATGGGAAGGGGACCCACATGTACAAAAATATTCATAGCAGCTCTTTTTGTGGTGGCAAAGAATTGGAAATTGAGGGGATGCCCATCAATTTGGGAATGGCTGAGCAAGTTGTGGTATATGAATGTAATGGAATACTCTTGTGCTATAAGAAATGATGAACAGGAAGACTTGAGAAAAACCTGGAAAGACTTGCATGAACAGCATGAGCTGAGTAAAATGAGCAGAACCAGAAGAACATTGTACATAGTAACAGCAACATTGTGATTAACTTTGATAGATTTAACTCTTCTCAGCAATGCCAATGATCTAAGACAATTTCAAAAGACTCATGAAGGAAAATGCCATCCATATCCAGAAAAAGAACTGTGGAGTTTGAATACAGATCAAAGTGTACCATTTGCTCTTTTTTTGTTGTTGTTTCTTCTTTCTTGTGGTTCCTCCCATTTGTTTTAATTCTTCTTTACAACATGACTAATGTGAAAATGTTTAATATGAACATATATGTAGAGCCTATATCAGATTGCATGCCACCTTGGGGAAGGGGAAGGGAAGGGAGGGGGAAAAATTTAGAACTGAAAATCTTATGGAAGTGAATATTGAAAACTAAAAATAGATTAATTTTTGAAAAAGTGAATGCTGAAAACTATCTTGACATGTAATTGGAAAAAATAAAATACCATTTACCAGGGTGGGGTGGGGGGGAGAAGAATAGTAGCTAGTTCAGAGAACTGAGATGTTTGGCTTTTACATTTTGAATTTTTTGCCTGGATACTTATAACACAATACATGAGACACATACCCACTAGCTACAGGTCTGTAGCAGATCCATTTACCTTCTACTGGAAAAATAATACTGGTCTGATTGGGGAATGGAGTGCATCTACTGATCACAGATACTTTAACCCAGGGGTGGGGAACCTGTGGCCTTGAGGCTACATGTGGCTTTCTAGGTCCTTGGGTGCAGTCCTTTGACTGAGTCCAAGTTTTACAGAACAAATCCTTTTGAGGGGATTTGTGCAATGAAGTTTGGATTCAGTCAAAGGGCCGCACTTGAGGACCTAGAAGGCCACAGGTTCCCCACCCCTGCTCTCACAGAATCACCATAGGAAACTTATGTTAGTGGCCAGTTTTCGAAGAATCAAAAAGCAATGAAATTCTTCCTCACTGAAAGCCATGCTGACCACCAGCTCCCAGAGGCCTGCATACTCTCTGTAGTAGGAGCTGGTAGAGAATTTCTGGATCAGTCTGGTGGATTCATTTATAGGGCCACTGCAACGGGGAAGTGACCACCTTTGGATCACCCAACCTAACAACACTTGAAGACAGTTACTCTGAGATAGGAATGGCTCTCCATCGCGTAGAACATCACAAGGCGATGTTGTTGTTGCAGTCGTTGCTGAGTTGTTTTCAGTCATGTTTGACTTTTGTGACCCCATTTCTTGGCAAAGATACTGGAGTGGTTTGCCATGTCCTTATCTGGCTCATTTTACAGATGAGGAAACTGAGGCTATCAGGGTTAAGTGACTTGCCCAGGGTCACACAGCTCGTGTCTGAGGCCAGATTTGAACTCAGGATGACGGGTCTTCCTCACTCCCGGCCCAGTACTCTATCCTTCGCACCACTAGTCAGGGTGATATAACAGAAAAGAGCAGTGGATTTAAAGGGCCTTAGTTTGAATATCAGTCTTGCTGCTTTGTAGCAAGCTAGGGCTAGGGAGATAACAAGTTTAGATAAGACACAGCCCTCCTCATGTAGCTTACAATCTAATAGAGGGACGTGAATTCGTATTCTTCAGTGGCACTCACAATGATAATGTGTTGAAAGGATAAACATTCGACAGATGCAACTCCATTTTGTGACCTTGACATAACTGACTATTTTATAACTGGAGTCCATTTTGGGACTAAATTTTTTAGATGCTAATAAGCACCTGTTGTTTTGACATATTTATATAACTAAACAAACTGTTTTGCTATTTAGTGGTAAACACATTTTGTTCAATTGTTGAACAACACTAATAAGAAATGCTTATAAACAGCTTCCCATTGGTAGTTTTCTTTCGTCATAAGCTTAGATAACGAACTATCAAAGATGGGCATTTGTTAATTGTGCGGTGAACTATTCATCAGAATTAAAGGGTAACTTGCCAGAGGCTTTAAAAATCCCCACTGGAAACCTCATTCAGTAGCCTGATCCTGGGTGTTCCCTTGTTCACCCACTTCCCTTTCCCCACAAGATTCAAGCTTTCCATGTTGGCCTGACATGATAACAGTGCCGACGGTCAGAGGCTCACCAGACCATTGACTCAAGGAGAGAGGAAACACATGGCTTCTAGCAGAGAAGTGAGGAAACCTTGCTTTGTATACTAGTATTATGGGACACTTATCTGGAAGCCCTAGGAATCAGGATGCAGGTTTGCTCCTGGAAGGGTTTGTATTATTTGTATTAAATAGAATGATTGCACCTATTGACAAGTATAAGTCTGTTTCAGTATTTCTATCAGCACACATAACAGTAGGTTTTGAACATACCCGATGGGTTACCCAAAAGGAATGTGCTATGGGCATGTTAATTTTCAAAAGAAATCCAGATCTGGTGGCTGGTCCTAGACAGGACAAGAAACTAGGTAGTATAGTTATCCCTTTCATGTGATGGGAGTTAAGGGTGCTGTGCCCTAGCCCTGGGATCTGGAAAATCTGCAAAAAAAAAAAATTTGGCTCTCCCTTTATAGCAGAGAAGTCTGATTTTTTTTCTTTTTCTTTTATGAGGTGCTTACAGTACTTAATTGTAAAATTTGGTTTGATATTATATAATACTGTATTTATATTTTATGCATTTTTGAGTTTCTAAACTTTTTCTGTGTCATCTGTGGTTTCCACAAAACTCCCCCAAAATTCCCATTTAATTTCTTATGCCAACCCTCGATATCGAAATGCCACTATGGGGAAAGTCACAATGTGGAAGGGATAACTAATTGTTCAATACTTCCTAGACTCAGCTGAAGGAACAAGGCAAAGCAATTCTGCAGAAAAAGAATGTATGTTTATTTGCAGTAAAAATCATGATTTGAAAAAAATTTATTGGCAAAATTACATTTCTGTTTGGTTGCGGGCATTATGGGGTGTGCTGCAACTGAGAAATCCCTCACCTGCATGCAAAGGGCTTCTCAGTCACAGCAACTTTCCTAACCCAGGATTATAAACTACCCCTAGAGGACTTCCCAATTGCCAGCTATGAACTATTCCACAATCCCCCCTTGCCCCCTAACTCTCCCTCCCTGGTTAGTGCAATGCAAAGAAACAAAAATTCCAAGGCATTTACATTATTATTTCCTATTTCTCAACATCCTCACTTACAACTTTGACTCATTTCATGATGAACTAAAATATATATACAATTTTCTTGCCAGCATAAAAACATTTTTTCCCTTATTCACAGATATATATCATGGCATTTGGAGAAATAATTACAAACTTTTTTCTTTAAAAACAAAACAAACAAAAACAAAACCAGAACGAGTTTCTTACAACAGTAAACACAAACAAAGATCCTTCCTTACCTCTGTCCCTTCCCACCCCACCCCTCCCCTCTCAGGAATGACTGATTCCATTCAGACAAATTCCTGACTCAGAGTTGTCAGTCCCTGGCAAAGTGCACCCAAAGGGCTCAGGGGATGGGGAGAGGAAGCAGTCTTGACTCTGGGGTGCTCATCTTGAGGGCTAGAGGCCTACTTGACACAGCCATTTTTACAAATGTTTTTCTAAATATCTCACCACTGCATAGGTCTTTGGAGGATGTTTTTCCATCCCTCCTTCCCCAATCTCCTGGATATAAGGAATGTATGATTGGTCCAGAAACAGTCACAGTTAATGGAGAAATGAACCAACCAGGCTAATTGCCGGTCAGTTAGCACCAAACAGCAGCAGAAGCTAAAACAACCAAACAGCTCTCACCTACCTCTCTGGGTGCCTTCCTCCTAGGAGGGAGATTAGTGAGCTGTTAAATCCCTTCTCTTCACCACCTCCCTCCTCCCTTCAACCTCCTCCTTCCCTAGCCACCAAGTGGCTGAATGAAAGCTTTCAGTCTGCCCTGGGGCTGGTATGGGATGATTTTTCTGCCAGCAGCTTTGGCACAAAAAAAGATCAAGCAAGGCAACCCTTCTCAATCTCAAATAAGGTCAAGAAAAAGAAACAGATACAGGCAAGACTAAGGTGCTTGCCTCGCAGACAGAGTGCAGTGCAGTGTGGTACCATGGAAAGAACATGATTGAGAGTCAAAGGCTCTGGGTTCTAATCCCACTTCTGCTCCTTATTACTTGTGCGACCTTTGGCATGTTATTTGACTCCTCTGGGCCTCAGTTTCCTCATCTGTAAAATGATGGAACTGGACCAAATTGATCTCTAAGGTCCCTTCCCAGCTCTAAATCTATGATTCTAGTCTCCTTTAGGGTAAATGATTGACTAGGACTGCAGGAACAGAGGCTGGAGGTGGGGGAGAGACAAGAAGCATTAGAAGGTGGAATGGGGAGTAACCACTCACAAGAGCACTTATCTGATGTGAGCTAAAAGCAGACTCTGGGTTGGGGGACTGAGGGAAGCCCCAGAAGAAAAGAACTTTGCTGAGATGAGAGGGGACAACCAAGTGTTGGGGTATGGAAAATGGAGCACAGTCTTAGAAACCATGGTGAAGACACCTAGGCATTGCTATTTTTTTTTTGAGGAGGCCCCTAGGAAACTACACGGGGGACTCCATGGGAGTTGTGGAACCCCAAGAGGTCTATGAGAAGTAAAGTCCCTAACATAAGAAAACCATCTTTTTCTCCCTGATCCCATTTAGGAACTCAGTTTCTGTTTGCCAGTTTGTAGGAAATAGCATATGAATACATTCTAGGTACTTCAGCAGAAGGAAAAAAAAGTATTTTGTCTTTGTTGTTGTTTTTGTGGGGGGAGATAATATTTGATGCAAATACAAGTGGTACCATTGACAGGAGTTTCAGCATCTTGAAGCTACCTTCATTTCCCCAACTTCCCCCAGGGAAAGGGTGCTTCTTGTGACAGGTGGGTTTTCCATTCCCTTCCCCAGCCTCCCTAGCCCAGAGGAAACCCAAGGCAAACCATTTCGAAAATAGCTACGGATTAGGTGGCCTCTCTCAGGTTCCTCCAGCTTTAAATCTATGATCCAAGGATGAGTCAATATTACACACACAACACTTTGGACTGGTCACCTTCCTTCTGTGCACAGCAGCCCCCAGGCCGGCCCCTTCCCTCAGCAGCTGCAGCCCAGGACTTGGCTGGTGATCTGGATGGAGACACATTAAGGGGTCCTTCATCCTGAAGCACTAGGTGTCAGAGCTAGCAGCAAGTGAGGACTCCAGGGAGAAGGTAAGGAGAGGAGTTCGTGGGAATCTTCTGCCAGTCCTCATTTCAGGGACTTTCCCCCACTGCCCTCTGATACTGCAGACGCCATCACCAAGAGAGTGGTGGGTTTTCTTCCTTGGTCCCAGGTGCCCTCTGGAGTAGCAAGCCTGGCAATGGCCAACAGTCAACTTCCAACAAACTAGTCTCTGGGCTCAGAAAGGTTCTGTATTTCCCCTTCTCTGGGATGGTGGGTAACGCTGTAGCAATGTAATCTGAGATACACTGTTAAGTTTTATATACAAGTCCTGTACCCTGGGATGGGTCACCAATGGCAGATGACTGATTTGTAAATGGTTTGCATTTAGTATCTTGTCTCCCTCCCCCCCCAACCCTTTCCCCAACCCCTTCAGGCTGTTTAATACTGGAAGCTTGGAGGACATTTCCCTCTGAATTAACTAGAGGTTTGCACCCTCTCTAGAGAGACTCTTCTCAGAGAATCCATGGGCTTCATCCCAAATCCAGTTGTCACTGCACACCCTCCTCTTCCACATATGTTGACGGAAACCAGCCAATCTGTAAAAGACAGTCACCGTGGCATGAGAGAGTACTAGAGACATGACAGAGACCACAGCTGATAACTTCTTATTCTTTATAGAAGTCTTTAAATCATAGAGAGGCTGTCATATGGGAAAGGGAGGCTCATGCTATGGAGCTCCAGAAGACAGAACTAGGCTTGACAGGCATTGGAAGTTACAGGGAGGCAGATTTCAGCTCAGCACAAGAAAGGTTTTTTTTAGCAGGTGTGTCTGAAAATAGAATGGGCTGCCATGCAAAGTAGTGAGCTCCCTGACACTAGAGGTATTTGAGTAGGCAAAGATGACCACCTACACTGGAGCTGGAAAGGACCTCCGTGGCTAGCTAGTTCAACCTCTCCATTTTACAGATGAAGAAACTAGAACTCAGAGGATGCAAATGATGTCAGAGGTCACCTGGCCTAACCTGTGTCTCCACATTCCCTCTACAATATTTCTGACAACGGGATTCAGCCTCCATTGGGTGCTTCTAAATGAAGAGGAGGAATTGACTATCTCTTGATGCAGTCCATGCTGGGTGTTTTTGGATAGCTCTAATTGTTAAGGGATCTTTCCTTGCATGGAGCCTAAGTTTGCTGCTGGCTGATCATACCCATAATCCTTGTACAGGTCTTCAAGGGCTAGAAGACCAGTTGTCACCCCTGAGCTATCTCTGTTCCAAGATGGGCCAAATCTACCATGTCCCAGAAGCTTATACTCAGCTTGGGCCACAAATATCCACATCCCTTATTCTCTGGATGCTTCAAAGTCCAGACAAAGAATCTTGGTTCTGGGGCCATTCTGTTGAGCTCCAGGAACAGGTGAGTTTAATACTGTGAGGTTTCTTTTTTTAAAGGCACCAAGACAAGATTCCCTTTACATCTTAAATGCCAATACCCCAAGGATTCTCTTCTTCAGGACCCCAGTACCCTCAGCCAACTCTCACAGGCCGTGCTTGACAGCAGCCCACCAGGTAGGGGAAGTGACAAAAACACTGAGCTAGGACTCAAGGTCCTGCACTTTGGGTCCTGGCTCTGCCAGTGACTTAGCAGGACAACATTGGACAAGGCACTTGGGATCATGGCATCATAGGTTTCGAGCTGGAAGGGAGATCTGATGCTCTTTGAAAAGTATAAAGAACTTGGTGCAGCTAGGTGGTGCAGTTGATAGAACACTGGCCCTGGAGTCAGGAGGACCCGAGTTCAAAATCAGCCTCAGCTATGTACTAACAGTGTGACCTGGGTAAGTCACTTTACCCTGATTGCTTCCATAAAAAAGGTAGAAAGAACTATACAAGTGTAAAGTGATAGTAATGATCACAATCATGGCTAGTATTTACGTAGCACTTCAAGGAACTTTACAAAAATTATCCCATTTGATCTTCATAAAACCCTGGGACGTTGGTGCTATTATTAGCTGTATTTCATAGAAGAGGAAACTGAGGCAAAGACAGATTAAGTGACTTGCCCAGGATCCCTTAGCTTGTAAGTCTTTGAAGCAGGACTTGAACTCAGGTCTTCTTGACTCCAAGTCAATATTCTATCCACTGCACTGCCCTCACCCTTCTTTTCCACTCATCCCCAAATGGTACCTGATGCTAGGATGTGCTTTCAGGCCAGGTCGGTTTATGGAGGGAAGCCTATGACCTTACTTTTCATAAGGCCTCTTACATATAGTCAGCACATAGGAAGGGAGAGAAGTTGGGAAGAAGGGAAGGGAGGAAGGAAGGGAGGGAGGGAGGAGGAAAGACTTATTAAGTGCTTACTATATGCTAGACACTGTGCTAAGCATTTCACAAATATTATCTCATTTGGTCCTCATAACAACCCTGCAAGGTTATCATCACCTCCATTTTACAGTTAAGGAAACTGAGGCAGACAGAAGTTAAATGACCTGCCCAGGATCATACAGCTAGGAAGTATCTCAGGCCAGACTGACCTCAGGTTTTCCTCACTCCAGCCCAGTGCTTTATCCTTGGCACCACCTAACGGTCTCTAGGAAGTAGATTCTTGAATCAGTACATGCAATATACTTCCAAGCCCTGCCCAGTGAGCCTGAATCATAACCTTACCCTTCCATTGGTTTCTCCCTTCCACCAGCCCTGGTCACCACCAATCCTGCTGTAGATCTTCACCACGTCACCTTCTCGAAGCGAGAGTTCCCGCATGTCCCTGGCGGCAAAGTTGTACCTGGCCACGGCCATGCCAATAACACGGGGAGTGAACACTGGGCAGAGGAAAGATGGGAATGTTAAGCAATTAGCCAGTCTGGGGTCAGCCTCCACCCTGAGCAAGAGTGGTGGGATATCCAAGCTGAGCTCTCTCTCCCCTACCCCTATGCTCTAATGGACACTGATGCCACGAATTGGGGCTACTGGCTCCTTGAAGTCAATTTATTCTTCTGGTGCCAGAGTTCATCACCAAAATGGCTCATGGCAAGGGAAATCCACCTCGTATCGGCTCCTCCCTCAGACCCAAGTGGCATGATGGGAAACAGAATGGACTAATTCCATGTAGAAGCAATAGCAAGGAAAACAGCAAGGCATATTATTTTAGGGGAAAGACAGCTACTGGATATTTCACTCTGGTCTCAGACAGATCAGGGGTAAGTGTCAAGGACAAAGTTTTGAGCTCTGGTAGCAGAAGTATCTCAGGACCGGCAAGGCTCCCAAAACCTTATCCCTCCTTGTTTGCTATGCTTTGTATCACACCTCTCAGCCTAATTTCTTCAGATATATTTAATGGGTCCCCAGTATGGTGCTTTAGAAAAAAAACCCAGGTCAAGGAATCAAGACACCAGAGTTCTAGTTTCCACTCTGAAAATAAGCCATCTATGGGCATATCACTTATCCTCTGGGACTTCAGGTTCCCTTTCTGTCAAATGAAGGGTTTAGACTCAGAAGGCCTTTAAACTTCCTTCTGTTTCTGGCTTTCTAAAGTGGTACAAGTCATGCTATTCCTTCTCTCCCTTTCTAGACGGCCCCTTGGTTCTTTTCTCAGCTACTTGATTCAAAACTCACCAGGGAGGATGACTGTGTTATTGACATAGTTAGGGGAAAATGATCATCTAAGTGATGATGACAACAACATAGATGGGTGTGGAGTGAGGTTGGTGGTAATGGTAGTTGTGACAGGCCAAGCTTGAAATCCATCCTGAAATCTAAGCCAACAACGCCACATCTTTCTCCCCTTCCTCCCAAGAACATGTTGCATTTTCATAGTCTCATCCCCTCTGATCATCATAGGTTCCTAAAGTGGGCAATACCACCCCTGGGGGGCACTGAAAGGATCCAGGGGGTGGTAGTAGCCTTGAGTGCAATTGCGGGGCACTGAATAAAAGTAACAGAGTGGTGGAAGCATAAGGAAAGAAGAGAAGATGAAATTTTGAAAAACCATTTGTACATGTTTCATCTGTTATATAACAGAATTAAAGTCATAGTGATTACATCATCTTCCAAATAAACACACAAAATGCAAGTTATAACTGATTAGTCATCAAGTCTGACAACAATTCTTAACAAACAAGTGTTGGCAGGTGAGCACTGGGAACTCCAGCATACATCAGCAAGAATGTGTGTGTAGTGAAGTGTTTCCAATATGACACTACATGGTTGATGCAATATTGCATCAAGAAAACTTCAGTGCAGGAAAAAAAATTTACAATAAATTATTAAATTTAAGATGTGTTATTTTTAAAAATATATATTTTGCATTTTTTAAATGACACAATTTATTTTAAAAAAACCATTAAAGGGTTAAAGAAAGTAGATTTCCAGGGGAGGCACTGAGTAATATTTTTTAAAGGGGGTGGTAGGCCAAATAAGTTTGGGAACCTGTGGTCTAGATGCTAGAATGGGAAATATCTACCCCCATAGGCAAGGTAGGTCTCCTAGAGCAGTATCACTGGGGCTCTCATGGCTTTCAAGCTCGGCCTGATGGCCTGATGACCCACTGGCGGGCTCTCTGCCAGCCAGCAGCAGCTGGTGGATGGAGGTGAATCGCTTTTCTCCCACACACCCTAGGCAGCTATACCTGACCAGAAGGGTGTGGAGGAGCTCTGGGAGGCAAAGCCGAGGCCCTGAGGACTGAGAAAAGAAAAGTTGTAGGAAGCACAGGAGGCTGCAAAAAGGTTAAGAGAACACATAAAAAGGGAGGAAGAAGGAGAATCAATACAAAATATATATATAATTTTAAAATTAAAGTCATCAATGCAAGAGAAGTGAATCAAAAGTTTCCCCAGGATCCCCCATGGAGCAGGAGCCACTACCTGGGATGGGAAGTCAAAAAGTGTGGTAATTCTCTAAGACAAGCTCTCTTCGCCCTTGTCCCAAATTACTTTAAGTACAGACGTTATTCCTGCTCTCTACGCCTGGGGAAAAAGCTTTATAAAATCTCAAAGAACTAGAGAAATGTGAACTATTATTTTTATGACATTAGAGGTAGCATGATATGGTTGAGAGGGCTCTTGACTTCAAAGTCAGGAAACCAGGATTCAAATCTCAGAATTGACACCTAGTAATTGTGTGACTTTGGCTGAATCACTTAACTTCCATGAGCCTCGGTTTTCTCATCCACAAAATGGGGATAGTAAAACTTGTGCAACCTACCTCACAGGAATGTTACGAGGAAGTAATTTTTTAAACCTTAAAGCACTACAAATTGCAAGTTACCATTATTATTTACTACATCCAGGCTCCTAGACCTATTGTGGCCATGTATTCCAGACATAAGGGTGTTCCTCCTTTGAATTCTGCTTCTCAATTCTGGGGATTGGTAACCTTTCTGCCTCTTGATCTTGCTTTGTCTTGGGCCTGGGTATAGCAAGAATAATGATGAGAGGATCGTAGGCACATAGATCCAGAGATGGAAGGGACCTTCAAAGCCAATGAGCCCAATCTGCTCATTTTACAAATGAAGAAGTTGAGGCAAAGAAAAGTTAAGTAACTATCCCAGGGGTGTAGCTAGTGAGTGCCTAAAGGTGGATTTGAACCTGCCTCCTGGCTGCACTTTGCCATGGTGTCTACCTGATGAAGCTTTCCAGATGCCACCTCCCTCTCTTTGCTTCTCTTATCTCCTCCCTCCCCTCCCTTTCTAGAACCCCACATATGCTATCTTCCTCCATTAGAATATAAGTTCCTTAAAAGTAGGAAATCTCTCTGTATTTTTTTTTAAGCTTGAATTTGTCTTTTCAGCACTTAACACCATGCTTGGCATGGAGTAAGCGAGCAACAAATGCTTTATCTGAATGTCCTTCTCTCTGGAACAGCATCTCATAATTCGGTTATTATGAGCTCTGCAGCTCCTTGTGTCTACCCTCAGCCTAAGCTGGGAGCTCATCTTACTTGCTATATGCTTGCTGATCTCTCTAAAGGAGGATTATGTAGAATGAGCACCTGCACAGTACAACCCGAGTCAGCTGTATCCACGGGCTCTGACCACATCAAAAAGGGAGCTAACACTGGGTACTAAGGCTTACATCTTTCAGGGAAAAGTCTAGCTAAGTCACAGTTAAACTCAAGGCACATATATATTATCTCCCATTGCTCCACTGGAAATGTTCCTTTCACTCCTTTCTTTTACAGTCAATGCATCAGAAATCTGATTTTATGAGAGGCATTATATGTTCTGAAACTGAAAAGAGGAACTCTTGCCATGGGTTTTAGGATAAACAGCGATAGGACCCAACGAGATGGTTATCAGAGGATCAGGAACTTTCAGAGGAGCAGAAGTGAATGCCCTTTTCAGCATGTTGTGGTGGGAGGGGAACACTCAGCATGCTCTTACCTGGTGACCGGGTGGAGGCTCTTGAGGCTGAGCGTTCTCGAGATTTGTAAGGGTACTTCAGGGTGGTGTCCAGTTGTTTAAAACTCTCCTTGAGTGAGTGGCATTGGTAGTATTCTACTAACTCCTGCCGAAGATAAACATTGTCACAGTGCTAATGTGCCCAACACCATAGACAGACTGGGTTCTCTCTTTTGAGCACCTCCCAAGGCATGCTTCTCCAGGAAGCCCTCCCTGACTACTACAGGCTGCACTGATTTCTCCTTTCTCTGGGCTCTCTTTACACATAGCATGTACCACGGAGTGGGGCACACACTTGATAATCTGAGAACAACCAAAACACTTTTTGCCCTAGCAGACTGTAAGCTAGGGAGAAATAGCTTTGTATACTCCTTATGGCTCTCCTCTTGCTCCCCAACTTGACAGCGCCTAGCACAGAGTTGGGCCCATAGTGAGTGCTTAGTACAAATCATTTCACTGAAGGACAATGATGTTTGGTGGTGTCTTTAAGGGCATTTTGGCCATGGATCTTGCCCATTGAGAAAACCACCTCATCTGTAAAATTGGACGAGTTCACCTCAAAGATCCCTTCTAGCTCTACATGAATAATCCTCAAATTCATCAATTAAGATCTAGAAAAGGCTTCAGACCTTTTAGTCAAACCATATCTACCATTTTACAGATGAGGAAACTGAGACCCACGGAGGGGAAATGAATTGTCCAAGGTCATATATACAGCAAATGGCAGAGCCAGGACTCAAACCCAGGTCTTCTGGGTCTAAATCTAATCATATGCAGCTAGACAGAAGCATGCCCACCCATTCTCCACTTCAGGAGTAAAGCTAGTTAGCCTTCTAAAGGAGGATCATCACCAGACTTTTCTGACTTTCTAAGAAGGGTCCCAGGGCCTGCTTGGAGGTTCGTGACTCTTGAGCCTTAAGACACACTCTGGACATTGCCTATGGTATAGTAGAACCTCGTGAGGAGGTCCTGGGGAGGGGGGAGAACATACGTATCCAGAACACTCAATGAGAAAATATTCTACCTCTGTAGGGCCGTGAAATGATTTGCAGGGTTTTCTAAGTAGAATTAGTTTTTACTTTTCTCTCTTTTTTATACTAAGAGGGAATTTCTCCAGAGAAAGTAGGAACATCATCATGAGGAAGTAAATGCTTAGCTGACCTTAGGCAAACATACTACAAAACGGGACAGAAAAAGCTTGTTACTAATTCATGTTGTTGTTTCTCCACGAGACCCTTCCCCTGGGTTCCTTTCCCATCCCCTATAAATGAGCCCAGGCAGGTGAAGGTTACAGAGACTCCCATACCAATAGGCTTTCAAACTTCTTTGCTTCTGTGATATGAATCCAGTTGTCTTTCTCCACCACCTTAATGTGTTTCACTTCATCATTGAACCTGACGAACAACGGCAAAATTAACATTCCCGACCAAATGGGCCGAAGCTAAGAATGACTTCAGAACTGCTATGACTGCTTCCCCATTCCAATGGTTGGCTGGGACCAGCTCCAAGTGCCCTTTGACTGCTCACCATACCTTTCTGTCTTTATCAGTAAATCAAGGATCAGCCTTTTCCCATTACCTACTTGACCAGCTACTCCCATTATTTGATTCTGTTTCTCATTCTAGGCTAGCTCTGTTGATGGACTGAAGCCTTATCTAAGATGAAGTCTATAGATGCTTCCTGGTCACAGCATAGGGTTGCTCAAGTTGTTAAGGTCTCTCTTGCTGCCTGTGACTTACATCAGCTAGCCTACTCTTCCCTGCCCTGTGGGGCTTCTTGGTTTGGGATGACTTGCCTGGACCTTGGACCTCCCACTTCACTCCACCCTTCAGCATTTGAGTCTTGCTTCCCATGATACTTCTAATCTCTTATCTCTTGCCTGCGCTGGCCTCCAATATCCTCAATGCCTTCAGTCTGGCTTGTCTGCCTAGTTTCTGAAGCGTTGCTATGATGTGCTGTGTCATCCCTGCATGTACTCTGTGTGCAGACTCCTATTCTTCAGCACTGTCTGACTACAGGGGTCAAGGTCCTTTCTTAACTCTGGCTCACTCCTGCACTTGGGCCTGTCCTTTATTCTCAGCCTGGCTTTGAGTATCCTGGTCCTGGCTTTCCATCCCGTCCGCTCTCTCATATCCCCTCGTAGCTTTGATGCTCACACTCTGCTCTCGTTTCAAGCTTCTGGACATCTTTATAAAGCACCGAGAGAAATGATCTTGGATGAAAGGGCTTTTCTTCCTAACCTTTTTATTTTTGGGGCAGGGGGGAGGGTCAGGAAGGGGAGCAACTAATTCTGCTGTGTTGGTGGAGACTGTAGCTAGCAAATACGATAGCTTGCCATGAATATTGGCCTGCCTTCCATCTGGTAAGTTAAACACTTTGAGATCTTCATCAGGACGACATATGAATTGCTCAGGCTTTAATCTGGGGGGAGGTCTCACTGCTTCTGACAACTAGTCAAGCAACTATGGGTTTTGGTTTTTTTTTTGGTCAGGCACATACTTTATACTTATGGCAAATCGCTCTGCCTCCGCAGGTCTTTCTCGGATCAAGTACGTCCCACTTGCATGGGATTTCAACAAGTTGTCAGTCTGCTGTCGCTCCATATTGCCTGCAAACCTGAAGATGGACAGATTCCTTTAGGTAATGACACATAAAAAAGATTAATGTGCAGTAAAATCCTTCCGCGGGATGTGATTTTTATTTGGGAGGGGAGAGGAGTTTGGAATTTGTGATTTCACCTATGTAGGGAATCTCCAGTGTGGGAACTCCCTCCACCTATGCAGAACAGCAACTCCCGTGTAACTTTAATCCTAGATTGTTGCTTGGGGACACTGAACTGTTAAATGAATTGCCCATGGCCACACAGCTAGAATATATTAAAAGCAGGAATTAAACCCAGGTCAACCTTCCTGATTCTAAGACTGGCTCTCCATCTATTATACCACCTTCCCTCTCTTAATGGATGTGATGGTGAGATAAAGGTGAGTGAATCATCAAATCAAAATGCCAGAGAGATCATTTACCGCAACCCCATCATTTGACAGATGGCAAAACAGAGACCCAGAGAACAGAAGGGATAGGCTCAAGGTCACACAGTTAAGTAGGTAACAGAATGAAGTTTAGACCCATGCATCCTGACGTTTGTCACACTGCTGCCCTGCTCCAACACCTACCCAAGAATTAGGATATCTAATAAAAAAAAAATCCTCTCCATTAGCTCGTTTTAACAATGGACTCACCAGGGGTATGTGGTATAGTCTATTTCCCTGGATAGGGGCCTGCTGCTTGGAGGCTGTAAAAAGAGAACATGACTGGTTATTAAGGCACAAAGGGTCTGAGACCACAGGATTTAGAGCTGGAGGGGCCTAGAAATCTATCTCGTTCAATCTTCCCATTTTACAGCTGAAGCTACTGAGGCCTGGAAAAATGAAGTGATGTAAAACAGCACAGCCAGGATTTGATCCCAGATCCTCGACTCCACCATGCTGCCCAATGTGACAGACTGCTCTGCTCTCTCAATATTCTCTCTGAGGCTATTTTTTGTCAATGCCAGGAATTTCTAAGCTTTTGTCCACAGAGTAGGAAGGAACTAGATTTGTTGTCTGTGATTCGTGCCTGATCTGTATATATGGAAGAGAATCCTATATATGGAATCGCTATATGGAAGAGAAATCCTACATAAATCATGATTTTAACCTCCAGTCTCTGGGCCCCAGGCTTTTGTTACTGTTCAGTTGTTTTAATCATGCCCACCTCTTTGTGACCCCATTTGGGGTTTTCTTGGCAGAGAGACTGGAGTGGCTTGCCAATTTCCTCTTCTAGCTCATTTGACAGATGAAGAAACTGAGGAAAACAAGGTTAAATGACTTGTCCAGGGTCACACAGCTAGTAAGCGTGGTAAGTAAGAGGCCAGATTTGAACTCAGGAAGATGAATATTCCTGGCTTCAGGCTGGGCGCTCTATCTACTGCACCAGGTAGCTGCACACAGGGCCCCAGGCCACAGTTAGGTAATGACATCATGATGTCCCCTTGCTCTCCAGCGTTCCAGACCACAGTCTGCTCCTTCCCCAGCACCACCATGTGTTATGTTCTCTGCTAGGTCATCACTGCTCTACAGTGCCTTCAAGCAGGGACCTCCAAGCCATGCCTGAGAAAGAGCGACTTTTCATTTGCCTATTGCTCTCCACAGGCAAGAGGATGACAGGATCAGAGACGTGGAGTGGGAAGGGAATGCCCTCATTCTCCAGGTAAAGAAGCTTACACCTACAGTAGTGAGGTTAGCTGCTCGTGGTCACACAGGTATTAATCATCAGAGGCAGGATCTGAACTCGGGTCCTTTCCATCCAGGGTTAGTACACTGGGCACTTGCTCACTCGTTCAATAAAACTTAATCAATCACACTACGTACCAAAGTTAGCATTTGAGAAAGAGGATGAGCTAAAGATGCCCTCTTGGAGCTCACATTCTAATAGGGTAATAAGAGAAAAACAACACAGCTAAATAAACTGTGCAATATTCCATACTAGGTGAATTAGAGAGGTATAAGACGGAGAGGAATGTGAGGGCTAGGGGCAGGTGGCTGCCTACCAGGAGAAGCAGAGAATAGTTTGTGGATGAAGTGGTACTTTAGCTGAGCTTTTGATTTTTTTTGGGGGGGAGGGAGGCAATCAGGGTGAAGTGACTTGCCCAGGGTCACACAGCTAGTAAGCGTCTAAGGCCACATTTGAACTCAGGTCCTCCCAACTCCAGGGCTGGTACGTTGTCCACAGAGCCATCTAGCTGCCCCTAGCTGAGCTTCTGAAAAGGTACATATGAATTCAATAGCTGAAGAGGGGAAGGTGGGTATGACAGGCATAGGAGAATAGTGTGAACAAAGGCTCCAAGATGGGGGGGACACTGTGAGTATAGGGAGCGGGGTGAAGAGCTATTCAGTTTGGACAAAATATACAACAAGGGGGAAAGAGTGACATGAAATAAGGTTGAAAAGGTAGGGTGGCGCCAGACTTTGGAGGGCCCGGAATGCCCGGTGATGGAGTTTCAACTCTATCTATTAAACAGTAGGGAGCCTTACAAATTTTTAAGGGGAAGAGTGTCACAATATATACAGAAGGAAGATTATTTGGCTGTGGTATGCAGGACAGATGGGGGAGGGGAGAGGTTGTGTAAGTCAAGTCTTTCTACAGAGCCAGGAGCTCTACTCCAGCGCTTTTTCTGCAATACCACGATGCCAACAATGTACTCCAAACCCCTCACAACCAAGTTCCCTGGTCCACTGGACCTCGGTAGCACAGATGGTGTCAACATTTGGAAGAGCACTTACCCGTCCATCCACAGGGCAGGGCTTCACAGATGAACTAGGAAAATAACCCGACTTCTTGGTCTGCATTAACCTTCCCTGGAAAGAGCAAGATTCATTTATGGATTCCATCTAGGGATTTGCAAGTCTATGCAAAGTTTCCCATGGGGAGGTTTCCACCATGATCCTTAGCTCTCACTGGGACTCCAGCACTAAGTTCCACAAGCCTAACAGATACAGTTATATGTTGTTGTTCAGTCTTATCTATGTGAACCCATGGATTTTATCCATGGGGTTTTCTTGGCAAAGACACTGGAGTGGTTTGCTATTTCCTTCTCCAGTGTGTTCCCATTTTACAGATGAGGAACTGAAGCTAACAGAGGTTAAGTCACAAGGTCACACGGCTAATAAGTATCTGAGGCTGGATTTGAACTCAGGAAGATGAGTCTTCCCGACTTTAGGCCCTGCATTTCGTCCACTTCACCACCTAGTTGTCCTGATGGGGATATAGGTCAGTTAATTTGAAATATTTTCCAGGCTCCCCAAAACACCACTTACTTCCCACCACTGAGACTCAGGGTCGCCTCTCAACAATTCGATCACATCGCCTGTTTGGAAAGTCAACACTGGCTTCCCGGGAGGAGCCGGAATACCATGGTAATTCTGCACTGCCACCATCTTAGGACCTGGGACAGAGGGAAAGAAAGCAGCACATTCTATGCAACTCAGTTCAACTCAGAATTGTCTTATCCCCTGCACCCCAATGTGTTACATACCTCCACAGGAGCTATGCAACACACCTAGACTCACACTTTTAAAACGCCTTTGTAGACTTCTTATATCTGTTGTCCACTCTGGCTAAGTACCCCTGACTAACCATCATGCCCCAATTAGGCTCCATCAAAAAAAACCCACAAGAAACATTTAGTGAGGCCCTGCCATACTGATGACGAGACTTCACATGTATCAGTTTTTCACTCTGCAAAATGGAGGTGAGAGTACCTGCTAAATGCCCCTCCTGATACACCACCCTGCATATACCCTCCCCACCCCTTTCTACTAATCAAATTGGTACTCCCATTCCTGGAAAGCAGATGTTAATCAGTGACCCTATGTCTGCACTCACCATCCCTGTGACTTCCCAGACCAAAACACCTTTCCCTTATGAGGGATTCTCTCCTGTTAGAATGTAGGCTCCTTGAGGGCAGGGACCATCTTGCTTTATGTATTTGTATTGCCAGCAACTAGCATAGTATCTGGCACATAAGGGCTTAATAAATGCTTTTTCATTCATTCACTCTTTGTTCATTCATTCATGAGAAGAATGCTAATTACTCCTGATGAGATACCAGTGCCTGTTTTTTTTTCCCCAACCATCCTGTTTATTAACTATTCTACATAAATCTGCTTAATTCAAGCCAAAAACTTAACTATGGTCACAGGTACATTAACAACAACTTCTTCCTATAGGGTATTTTGTGCTTTTCAGACTATTGCACATAGATCATCCTACTGGAGCTTTGCAGTAATTTTCCATTTTATAGATTGGAAAACTAAGGTATCCAGTGACAGGAAGTAACTTGCCCAAGAGCACATAGAAAGTCTATTATTTCTATTAACAGTCCTACAATGTAAGCTCTGTGAAGGTAAGGACCTTATCATAGTTAAATCTGCATCTTTCCCAGTGTACAGCATGATACTCAATACACAGGAGGTATTTATTTTACTTATAAATATATGTGTGTAAACATATATATTCACCATTTATAGATCTATATTTTTAAGAAAATAAATATTTCTATGTACATATGTTATGTATGCTTATTTTAAAATATTTTTAAAAACTTTCCCAATTGCATGTAACAACAATTTTTTAATATTCATTTAAAAAAATTTTGAGCTCTGCATTTTCTCTCTTCCTCCCTTCCCCCTTCCCTGACACAGTAAGCAATTTGATATAGGTTATAAATATGTAATCATGTAAAACATATTTCCATATTGATCTATATTTATAAATAGAACATATTTATAAAAGTGTGTGTATATTATTTATTATGTATGTATATATATATATATAATAGCATTTATATAGAACTTACTATGTGCCAGGCACTCCGCTAAATGCTTTTCAATTATTAACCCATTTGATCCTCACAACAACACCTAGGAGGTAGGTACTATTATTATCTGGCTTTTACAGATAAGGCAACTGAGGCAAACAGGGTTAAATGACTTGTCCAGGGACACACAGCTAGTAAGTGTCAGAGGCTAGATTTGAACTCAGGTCTTCCTGACTTCAGGCCCAACACTCTATGCACTCTACCACCTAGCTGTCCTTATTATACACATTACTCCTCTTCATTCACTCTACAGCCCAGATTGACCTTGATGTTTCTCATAATGGCATGCCATCTCCTTTCTCCATATCTTTGCCCAGAGTGTGGCCCGTGCCTAGAACGCTCTCTCTCCCTCCTCCGTTCCATTGCTCATACTCTCTTATTTCCTTCAAAACTATGCCGATGTACCACCTTCTATGTGAAGTCTTTCCTGGTCCCCTCAGCTTCTTTTTAGTAAAGATCCACTATTTATCTTACGGATTTATGTGTGTAGTACATATATATACACACATATGTATGCATATATCTAATAGACACACACATATGTATAAGACACACACACACACACACATATATATATATATATATATATATATATATATATATATATGTATATACATTGTCTTAACCAACACAACGTAAGCTTCTTGAAGGCTGGGACTGTCTCTACTTTTCTCTTTGAATCTCCAGCACCTAGAACAGCACCTGCCACATAGTAGGCCTTTTATGAATGCTTATTCATTCGTCTATTCAATATTCTTGAGTACTAAAGACTAGGAAAGAACATGACCACAAGAGAGGAAAAAGAAGAAAAACTGGGATCGTCCCCTTTTCCCAAATGACAGCATTTCAAACAAGTCCCTGCCTTTACACCCCACCCCTCTCCTGGGGGAGTTACTGTGGCATTTCAAGAGAAGGTCTAGACTTCCACTTCTGGGAGCCAAGATGGTGGAGTAAAAAGGTAGTCACTCCCACCCTCCCCTATCAACCTCTGAAAGCCCAGAATATATCACCCCAAAAAAACAAAACCCTGGAACAGCTGAACTAGAAGAAAGATGGGGAACAGCAGTGCAGCAGCCCAGCAAACAGGTCTCCTAGTGCCTCAGCAAAAATAAGGGAAGCAGCACTACAAAGGGCCCCAGGCAGATAAGCACCCTGCAGCATTCATCTGAAAGGAGCTGAAGAAAGCAACCTAGAGTCTTCCTAAAGTCCCAGCCTTGCTGATTCCAACCCAACACCAGGTAAGCTGTCAGAACCTTACAGCCTCCAACTGTCAACCAGGAGGAGATCCTGAAGCCCAGGTGGTAGAGCAGGCAAACACCAACACCTGGACCTCTGAGTGCCTCAGTGAGGGTGGGGAAACCAATGGAAACCAGCTCAGAAAACCACTAGGTGCCTCAGCACTGTACCAAAAAGGAATCTCCCAGTGCATTAGCAGAAACGAGGGAGGCAGCATCACAAGGGGCCCCAGGCAGATAAACACCCTGCAGCACCCATCTAAAAGGAGCTGAAGAAAGCTAAAGGAAAGGAAAAGCAGGCAACCTAGAATTGCCTGAAAGTTCCAGCCTCACTGATTCCATCCTAACATGAGGTAAGCTGCCAGAACCCTACAGCCTCCAATTGCCAAAATAAGAGGTCCCAGCACACAAAGCCAGTGACCAAGACCTAGGCTCCCAACACAAGCAGCTTGGGTCAGTGCCCTCTGTTCCCCAGCAGGAGAGCTCAATCTCTTTAAAGGCCAGGGAATAAAGAAACCATGAGTAAAAAGAAACATACCATAGATTCATATTATGAGAAGAGTGAAGATCAAGACAGAAATTCTGAAGAGGACAACATTATCAACAAACCCATATCTGCAACATCAAAAGGGAATATGAACTGGTCTGAAGTCCGAAAAGCCTTCTTAGAAGAGCTCAAGCAGGATTTTAAAATTCTAGTGGGAGAGGTAGAAGAGTCCTTAAAAAATATGATTGGCCAACTGGAAAAAAAGTACACTGAAGAAAACAAATCTCTTAAAAATACAATTGGCCAATTGAAGAAGGAAGTACAAAAGAGAAGGTCTAAGCAGGACGGACTTGGGGTTCACGCCAACGTCAATGTCTCTTTCCCACATGACACAACTATTCATTAACACTCCCAAATGGAACCTTAAACAATGAGTGTTTTGTACTGTACCAGACATACTTACCAGCTCCTGCACTTAGTGCGTCCTATAAAGGAAAGAAAAAACAACAGACTGCGATTAGAGAAGACGCTCTTCATTGACTCTGGCTTAAAATATCAGATTTATTTTTCTTAAGTCACCCTTCACTGCTGTGGATGACAAGCTCCCCACCCTAGAAGTCAAAGCAACGGACCGAGAGGTGTTGCAGATGGGGCTTTTAATGCCTTGCATGCCAACAGCCTTTCATTAGAGGCATTCACTTTTTTTTTAACCCTCTCTGTATCCTCCTCCCCCCCAGCTTTTCCATGAAGCTTTCCCTGACCAGCTGAGTAGTGACTATAATTCACTCCTATGGCACTGAATGCGTGTCTTGTCTCTTCAATACAATGATAATCAATTTAGGGCCAAAGCCTGAGTTCTAGACTAGTGCCCTGCACATAGTAGACAGCGGATAAAAGTTCACTTGTTTGATTTTCATTTTATTGATCTCTTGCATCCTCCACAGTGCAAACACATTGCTGGGCACATAGTAAATTATAGGATCATAGATTTAGAGTTGGGGCAGCTAGGTGGCACAATAGATAAGAGTTCTAAGCCTGGAGCAAAGAAGAGTCACTTAGTGGCCATGTGACCTTGGGCAAGTCACTTAACTCTGTTTGCCTCAGTTTCTTCATCTGTAAAATGAGCTGGAGAAGGAAATGGCAAACCACTGCAATATTTTTGCCAAGAAAACCCCCAAAAAGGGTCATGGAGAGTCAGACACAACTGAACAAGAAGAAGATTGACAGCTGGAAGGGATTCTGGAGGCCATTATGTTCACTTCTTCACTTTACAGATAAGAAAACTGAGGCACAGAGAAATAACTTGCCCAAGGTCACATAGCTAATATGTGCCTGGTACAGGATTTGAACCCAGGTCTTCCAGTGTTCTTTCCACCACACAATGTCGCCTTTCATAGTACTCTGTGCCTTACTTATTGTACTGCAACAATATCCTACCCATCGTGCCAGTGGCGTCAAATTCAAACAGAAATGGGCCACTAAATGGTACATAAGGATCCCCGTGGGTCATACGTTGGGTTAGAAAGCCACAAATTAACATTTCTTTATATTCTGTTGTGTTTTCATTTGTTAGATATTTTCTAATTCCATTTGAATCTGGTTTTGGGCTTCTGTGTGACACCTCTGCTCTGTCCCACACAACTATTTATTGGCAGGCTGATTTGTTGACAAAGACAAGCTTCTTTTAGGTAAACTAGAGAAATGCAGGCAGGAGGAAAGGATCCACCAATCAATAAGCATTTGTTAAGCGCTCTCAATGTGTCAGGCATAGGACATAGAACCCCTGAATGTTTTCTGGTGTCCTCAGCCATCAGAGGAGGAGCACAAGAGGACCGCAGGATGGACCAACTGTTGGGAAGGACATTCAATGTCCAGGACCAGGTGAAAAAGTACACAGTTTGAGAGATGGAAGGGGCCTTGTCTAGTACAACCTGGACATGAAAGGAATCCGCATTACAACCTACCCAAGGAGTGGTCCTCTAGCCTCTGGCTTGGAGACTTCCCAGAAGGAAGAACCACCACCATATGACAGAGGAAGCACACAGTGGGCCTATCACCCAGATGGAATTCTAGCGCTCTATGTGAATAATCACTACTACAGATCAGTGGAGACACACAGGGGAATCCTGTTACTACCATCACCCTTAACGGATGGCTTGTGGCTCAGGGAAGCAATGGGTATTCGGATAATTGAACAGTTTCTCTGCCAACAGGTGTGAACCAGGTTTTATAAGTAACCGAGATGAGAGGGAAGAGAATGGGTTTGCATGCTCTTACCGAGTCTACAGGAGAACCTGGAAAAGAAGAAAACCGAGCAGAGTTAGAGGTCAAACAGCCTGAAGGGAATGAGCCCCTGGATGAAGTTGCTTATTTATTCAAGTGTTTCACCCTGGGCCTGCTGTTTTAGGTTTGTGAGTGAGGCAAGACATCATGAAAGTTAGTCACCAGTATGGATTACAGCGAGGGCAGAAAGGGAGCCCAGGAGGGTTTCCCCCCCACTGTTCCCACCATGTATTCCTGCCATTCCTCCAAGTACTCTCTAACAACTTTGGAGAGTGAATTTTTAAGCTTTGGTTTTGGGAAGGAGGAGAGAGAGATGGGAATCTGAGTACAGTGATGGGACTGAGCCCTACAAACAGATTTGCTGATGTCAGTGTGATCACATGCTGCAGGAGAGAGGCAGGCTTCAGCTTGTCAGATAGCAAGGACACGTTCCAGCCCCCCCCCACCATGCTCCCCAGCATTTCCCCCATCTTCTCCCCCTGACCAAGAGCAGCCTGCTGAGTCCCAAGGATCTGACCAGCTGGGTAGCCCACCCTCTGTGGAGCAGGGCAATGATTACAGTAAAAAGCACACAGGATACTCTGGCAATTCAAATGCATTCTAACACTCACAGTTGCAGATATATTTAGGTAGACATATGTATCCAATGGGCCCTAAAGAACACAGATGGACACACTGAGCTGGGGTCCAAGCCAGGAGATACAAACATGTAAAGAAAGAAGTCATTGCATACACTCACATAAGGGCCACCTGGGGCCAGTCCCAGAGTCCCTCCAGCCTGGGATTCTATCCCTGTATTGGTCCCTGAGGAATGATTTAGTGGAGGACCGGGTTCTCCCCATGGCACTAACCTAATATGATACAGTGTTTGACTCGTACTGAGGAGATCTAAGTTCAAATTTTGGTCTCTGACACCTGCTTGACCATGGGCAAGATCTTTCACCTTTCTGAGACTCAGTTTTCCCATCTATAAAATGAGGATAATAAATATTGGCCCTACATACTTCATTAGCACTATACAAATGGGAGTTACTATTTTCTCTAACTTGACTTAATAATTTTCTACATACAACAAAAGTAAATGGAAAGAACACTAGCAACAAAACATTCTAAACTGAATGTTGTAAACTTATAATGACTAACCTTGGCCCCAAAGAGGAGATAATGAGAAAGCTCCTTCCCTACTTCTTTACACAGGTGGGGGACTATGGGTAGAGGATACTACATATATGTCAGACCCTTTTCAGTATGTCAGCTAGTTTTTCTAAGATGTTTATTTCTTCTTTTTTTTAATTCTTGTTATAAGGGAATGACTCTTTGGGAAAGGGAAGCGGAAGACTATATTGGAAAATAGAAATTAGCATAAAAATAACTTGTAATCATTTGTTTGAATAACGATTTGTGTTTCAGCCTATACTATCTAACATGGTAATAAGTTCTATAAGTTTACTCTCTATTGTGAGAAATCTTATGGGGGGCAGGGGAGAGATTCTCAAAATTATCTCACATAATGCTCTCAGGTACACACAGTTCTAGCATCTGGAATGTGGTGAACAAAGCCATACTCTCTTTTTTCCATGCCTTCAATGAGTTTAAAGGCTTCTATCTTATCCCCTCTTGGCCTTTATCTCCCTAAACTTCTGCCTTCTAGTCTCCCTGATCACACTTCTTCCCCCTCCACACCTTTGCTCATGTTGTGCCTCCCTGTCTGGAAACGCTTCCCATCTCTGTACCCAGCCAAATCCTATCCACATTTGAAGGACCAGATCAAGTTCCAGCTCTTCTGTGTAGTCTTCCCCAGTTCCTCTGGTCCTCAGTGTTTCTCTTCCTCTCTCCCCAGCCAAAACACAACTACCTTCCCTCTACTCTTTAACTCATGAAGAACAGGACCAAATGCTTCTTACACTCTCTACTGTGTTGGTGGCCCAATTGTTTTATCTGGATTGTAAGCTCTTTAAAGGGCAAGGTCTACACCCTCTGTTTCTTCTATATCCCTCACTGTGCCTCGCAGGAGGACCCAGGAGGAGCTCAATACAGAGTTGTGGGTTGACTAATCTAAACAGACAAAGCCCAAACTCATATTTCTATAGCCTGAAGGCTTATGAAGAGCATTACGCACAACAACCTTGTTAAGTAATTCAAATATCATTACCCTTATTCTAAAGACAGGAAGGAGGGCAGCTAGGTGGTGCAGTGGATAGAGCACCAGCCCTGGAATCAGGAGGACCTGAGTTCAAATTCGGGTCCCAGACACTAGCTGTGTGACCTTGAGCAAGTCATTTAACTTTGCCTCCAAAAAAGCAAATAAAAATATAAATAAAGATGAGGAAACTGAGGCTCAGAGAAATGAAATCACTGGCCCATGGTGTGATATTTATAAATGTCAGAGCCTGAATTTGAACTCGGAGCTGGTTCTATGTGTTCCCACCACATGACGCCAGTCCTCAGACTACACCTTCTACCCTCCGGATCACAGAGAAGTGATATGGCCCAGAGTGTCAGAAATTCTTAAGAGAGCAGAGCCTGTTTCATATTTGTCTTCATATCTCCAATTCCAAGATAGCATCTGGCACACAGTAGGCACTTAATAAATGCTTGTTGATAGACTGATTCAAGTCTTACCTCTGGGTAAGGTATTTAACCTCTCTCAGCATCAATCCCCTCATCTGTAAGATGGGGACACTAACAGCATCTACCTCACTGGTCTCCTGTAAGGATCTAATGAGGTAGCTTATATAAAGTACTTTGTAAATAAAATGTAATGTGCTACATAAATGCCAGCTCTTATTATCATCACCATCATCACTGTCACTTTTTCTTGCTTTTCCCTTCCTCTGTCCTGTCCTATCTTAGGCTCCAAGGCCAATATTTGCCTAGAGAATCCAGCTGTGGCTTGGTAAATGTGTACTCTATAACTGTATTATGGAGATGTCATAAAAATATCTCTAAGAATTAAGGGCTAGGCTTCCAGGGTCAGCCAGGCAACAGGCATTTATTAAGTACTTACTGTGTGCTGAGTACTGTGCAAAGCTTTGGGAATACAAAGAAAAGCACAAGACAGTTCCTGCTCTCAAGGAGCTCACAGTCTAAGGAAGGAGAAAACACGTGCACAACCATGCAAAGATACAGACAAGAAAACCGGGGATAGTCTCTGGGGCTAAGGAGGCCTGGGAAAGGATTCTTGGAGAAGGTGGGGCTTTAGATGGAACTTGAAGGAAGCCAGGGAAGTCAGGAATTACAGATGATGTGGGAGAGCATCCCAGATGTGGGGCACATCCAGGGAAAATGCTCCAAGTTCAGAGATGGAGGACCATGTACAGAGAAAAGGAGGGAGACAAACGGACGTAGAGTGTTTGTTGGGTTTGTCCCTGTGGCTGGGGCCAAGCTGGACTGGTAGGACTAGGGGTGTGCTGGAACCAGCCAATGAGTGGATTGTTTCATTTTCTTTGGGAGTATTTACATCCTGGAAATCAGAAAATGCTACAGATTACGGTTTGATTTATTATTTTGCTGATTGTCTCGACTTAAGAAACAGACAGAAAAAATGTTAATTACATAGATTAACCTTAGGAGTATGTCATACTTTTCAGAGAGCTGGTTGTTAAACATTTACTGCTGCCACCCTGAGGCCATGACACTGACTGGTGATACTGGTTAGGAAGCCTATTGGTCTAGCTAAGGCCCTGGACATCGAGCATATTGCCATATTACCTTGTCTAGACCAAAATGTTTATGGAAGCCATTTGGTCCTCTAACAATAAACCCTCCTGGGTCCTGTGTACTTATTATAGTACTCAGAACATATCAGGCACTTAATAAATGCTTATTCTGCCTCTCTCCCCATTTCTTCTGCAGCTGCTTATGTTCTCAGTCGTCTGTCAAGGAATACCCTACCCAGTGATTAACTAATAGCAGGTGTCACCATGTCCAAGGGCAGGGCTATTTCAACAAGATAATGTTTTGCTCTAGACTGTATAGTGCTATATAACAACGCGGTGGATCTATGATCTCCTTGGTATGCGCAGTCCCACCACATGTGCACATTGCAACCCACCCATACCTTCTTCACCACAGAATGGGGATTCTCCCATCCCATGCCTTTCCCTCCATCCTCTACAGCATGTTCTGCAACTGTGAACTGCTGTTATTAGGGGACTCTTCCCCATGATACAGTGTTATTACCTCTATTTTATAGATGGAAAGAGTCAGAAGATTTAGTATTAAACCCTAGTGCTGCCACTTATTAACTGTGTGACTTTGGGAAAGTCACATAACCTCTCTCCTCTTCAATTAAAAAAAAAGGGGAAGGGAATGGTGGTGGAGTGTTGAATTAGTTCTTATCTTGGGTTCCTTTCAGCTCTAAATTTTAAGGAAAAAAAATCATTCGGCCTTAAAAGAATAAATCTCTAATGCTGGAATTTCAGGCACTCCCAGAGAAGCAAGAGACACTTCTTCCCAGTATACCCTACATAAGGCCTGCTCTCCATGAAGGCTTCTGTCCCAGGACTACAGCTACTTTATGAGGAGCAGACACTTTTTGCCTTCTTTCAGGTCACCCATCCATACCCTGAAGGGAAAATGGAATAGAGAATGGTGAATCCCCACAATCCCCTGCAAATGGGCTAAAATCTAGCCCCTTAGCCTCCTTAGCATGAAATTTGGGGCATGGAGATAAATAGTGTGATATCAGCATGATACTTTGGGCATGGAGATAAAAGGCATGGTAGAGCGAAGAGCACCGGATCAGGAGTCAAGAGGCCTGACTTCCAGTCGTGGTTGTGATACTACCTTGCTATCTGGGCTGGTCATTTTTACTCTCTGGGCTCAGTTCCCTTACCTAGAAAATCAAGCAACTGGACTAGATTCCCTAAAATCCTTCTAGCTCTGAACACCTGACTCAGTAGTATGTTGGAAAAAGCTCTGGAGATGGAGTCAGAAGATCTCGGGTTGAGCTCCAATCCATCCTATCACACCAGCTGTGTGACCTTAACTGACCTCACTTTATTTCTCTGAGCCTCAGTTTCTGTACTCCCTTGTTACATGGATCAAATGAGATAATGTATGCAGAGTGCATTATACAAATATAAGCTAGGAGGGCCGTGATGATTTACCTCCCATTCAAGTCCTCTTCTGACACCTAACTGTGGCACAGAGGTGACCTGGAGTTCTCAGAAGCTGCAGGAGTGGAGTATGCCTAATCAAGCTAAAATGACTTTAAAAATAGGGCTACAGGAAACTGTGCCTTCTGAGGAGCAGCCTAAATAATCAACCAACCACAAGCATTTATCAAATACCCACACAGTGCCAGGCACGCTGTTAAGGACATAAACGATTTCACCAGAAGGCTGATTTCCTAAAGCACAAAGTCTGACCACGTCACCTGCCTGTTCAAGAAGTTTCAATGACTTCCTACTTATTTCCTTTAGAATAAAATACAAATTCCTTAGCGCAGCATTTAAAGCCCTTCGTAATCTAGTTCCAATCTGAAGCTATGGGCCGCGTGGTTCACTTGCCATCACAAGTTTAATGCCTCCCCTTGCCAGCCTTCTCTACCTCCACAATGGTTACCAGGCCCCCTGGAGATAATAATCTGTCTGAACACATTTATCAATAGTTAGTATCTTTCCAACCCATCTTACTCTCTCCATCCCAATGATTTTGAACCACAAACCCTGGTCTTCAAACCCCAATGTCCACTGCCTTATTCTCATCACCCCGCCACCTAACCACGCTAATGTCCCATTGCAGATCTATCCGCTCTTTCCACTATGCTCTATGCCTGTTCCATAGTTAAGAAACTTTGTTTCATTTTCAACCATTTTCTTTCTCATTCCTTCCACCTTCTGGCATTTGATGAGACATGGCTCCCTTCTGAGGACCCTATGTCCCTGGCTACCCTAGCCAGCACTGGTTACACTAACTCTTATATCCCTCTATCTGGCAGTAGATATGCTCCTTGCTCCCCCCCATTATCACTTTTAGACTTGCCTTCTACTACCATTTCTTAGTAACCTTTCCTCTTTTGAGGTTCATTTGACTCATATTGATCACCAAATCAAAATTCTGGTAGCTGTTATCTACCCTCAGGACAGTCTCCTTCCTACAACAGTGATCTCAGTGTCTGTCTCCTCCTCAATTATGACTCTCATACTACAGATCCTCTAACATACATACTGATATATCTTCAAACAGCTTAACTTCCTAGTTTCTTAATTTACACAACTCCTATGACCATACATCCTTCCCTTAGCTACAGAGAAGGTCATATCCTTGACCTTGGGATACTCAGAAGTGGTCCACTTTCACATTCATGAACTCAGAAATTCATTTACCTAATCATAATATCCTATTTTATCTTTCCCTTTTGCCTTATAACCCCTAACTCTGTTATTTGAGCTTATGGTGATATCCAATCCTCCCACAGCCTGGTTCTTTCCCAGGCCATTAGTACTGTCTTGGCAATGTTCATCTCTCTTTCCCACCTTGACCTTTGGTGAAACCAGCCAATTCTGTACTATCTTTTATTCTTAACTCCCATGCCTATCATTGATCTGTCCCTGCCAAAGACCAGCCTTGGATTACTCCCACCATTTACCACCTTCACTCCAATTCATGTGCTTCTGAGCAAAAGCTGGAGAAAAGTAGGAAATGGCTGATGGAGAACACTAAAAATTTGTTATGTAATCCCAACTGATCCTCAGTTCACTAAAACAACTTTTTTACACTTCCTTAATTGATTCACTAACCCACTCATTCCTCCTCAAATCTCCCTAACCACCCCCACTCCTCATTTGAGAATCTTGCCTCATATTTCACTGAAAAATTGAGGCCATCACCAAAGGCTCCCTGTTCTCCCCTCCTTTTCATCTCATCACTCAGATGTCTTCTTCTTTCTTCTTTCTTTCTTCTTCTTTCTACCTTTTCTTTCACGCCTGTCTCACATAAAGAGATGGTCCTACTCCTTACCAAGGCAAACCCTTCTATATGTACATATGATCCCACTTCATCCCATTTTCTCCAAAAGATTGTTCCTTCTATCATCCCCACTTTCTCACTATCTCTAATCACTTCTCAACTACTGGCTGCTTCCCTGTTTCCACAAACATGCTCATATCTCCCCTATTCTTAAAAAACCCCATCTGACTTGTCCATTCCCACTAGCTATCATTCTATTTTGTGACTAAATTTCTTTTTTTTTCTTTTTTAATTAATTTTATTTTTAGTTTGGGGAATAAAACAAGCATTTCCATAGTATAATAAAAAAGATGATTGCACATGAAACTGTAAATCTACTATGTACAACTTGCTATTCCCTTTAAATATACAACAAAGTTATCATGTAAATCTCTTTTTTTGTTTGTTTTTATCGATCACTTCCATACACTTTTGAGCTTTAAAATTTTCTCCCCTCCCTCCCCAAGATGGTGTGCAATCTGATTTAGGCTCTACATATACATTCCTATTAAACATATTTTATAACTAAATTTCTTGGGAAAAAAATATATACAATCAATGATTCCACTTCCTTTCCTCTCATTCTCTTCTTAATTTTCTGCAGTCTAGCTTCCAACCACCCCAACTAAAATTGTTCTATAAAGTTATCAGTGATCTCATTTTGACAAATCAAACAGCTTTCTCTCAGTTCTCCTCCCTCTTGACCCCTTCGCAGCATGTGACACTACTGATCATCCTCTTCTCTAGATTTTCCTGCTACCTATTGAACCATTTCTTCTGCATCTCCTTTGCTGGATCTTCATGCAGGTCATGGCTCCTAATTGTGGATATCTTCCAAGATTCTGTTTTGGGCCCTTTTCTCTTCTCTCTATGCTACTTCACTTGGTGCACACCAGCTCCTATGGATTCAAATACAGTATTTGCTGATGATTTTCAGATCCATTTGCTCAGCCTAAGCTCTCACCTGACTTTCAGTTTCTCATCTCCAACTGTCTACTCAGTAGACTCTACTAGATACTTAGAACTGGATGCCCCATAGCCATCTTAAACTTCACATATCCAAAACTGAACTCATTATCTTTTCCCTCAAACCCTCCCTTTCTGCCTCCCAACTTTCCTATTAATGTTGAGGGTACTACCATCTTATCAATCACTCAGGCTCCTAATCTACATGTCATCCTTTACTCTTCACTCTCTTATCCCCCATATTCAATCTGTCATCAAGTATTGCTGATTTTACCTTTGTAAAACTCTTATATGTACTCCCTTCTCTAACATAGCAACCACCCTAATACATGCCCTCATCAACTTATGCCTGGACCACTTGCAATAGCTTTCTGCTTAATCCCCCTGCCTCAAGTCACTCCCTACTCCAGGCCATCCTACACTCAGCTATCAAAGTGAACTTCCTAAAACAAAAGCTTGGCCACATCAACATGGGCCAGCTACGCCCACCCCCATCTGCAGTAACTCCCTATTACCTCCAGAATCAAATATAAAATCCTCTGTTTGGCTTTTAAATCCCTTCATAACCTGGCTCTTTCCTACCTTTCTAATTTTCTTATACTTTTCTTCCATCCACATACTCTACAAGCCAGTGACCCTTGGATTCTTTGCTCTTCCTTGAAGACGACATCTCACCTCCGGGCTCCGTGCATTCTATGGCTATCGCCCACACCTGGAATTCTCTCCAGCCTTGCCTCTGCTTCCTGGCTTTCTAAAGTCTTGGCTGAAATTCTAGCTTCTGCAAGAAGGCCTCACTTAATGCTAGTACCTTCTGTCTAAGATTATTTCTCATGCCTCCTGTATATATTATATTTGTACAGGGTTGTTTACATGCTGTCTCCTCCATTTGTCTATTACCTATTTGAGAGTATATATTTGACTTTCTTTATATTCCTCACATTTAACATAGTATCTAGCACATAGAAGGAATTTAATAAATGTTTTTTCACTGACTTTGCATAGGCTGTCCCCCATGCTTGGAATATACTTCCTTTCCACATTCAACTGTTAAAATCTCTATTCCCTTGATCCCAATAACAGGCTCTTTATAAAGGTTCATTAGATTGGGGGTGGGGTAGGGTGGGGTGGAGTGAAGAATGAATCCATTGGCAAGCAGCACCTCAACAATACTGTTCTAAAGTATAGATGGGTTGCAATCTGCATAGGTAGATGGAGGGCACAGGGGTGGATGAAAGTACAGGACTTTGAAGATGTTATAGTCCCAGACCCCAATGAGGTTCCTAGAAATTTGGTTTGGGTTGCAACTCTTTACTGTAATTATTATTAATAATAAATATGGCCAGCAGGGGTCACTACAAAACAAGGCTAAAGCTTTCCTTTCCTCACAGAATCCACACCTTCCAAGAACAAACACAGCAGTCATAAGGAGCCTTCAGAGCCCCGTTGCTCCCCACCCCACCTAAATATACTAGGTCTCTCTCCTGAAATACATACTGTTTCTAAATGTGGCCTGCCTATTCTCCTCCCCATCCTGGAGAACTGGCCAGGAAGTGAGTAAACTTGGGGTTTCTGGGGGTGGAGAGGGATTTCAGTAGGTAGGTAAGACTGCAAAGCCTTCTGAGAGGAAGATTTGCCTGAAGGTAACTGCCTTCTTTTTGTATTCCAGCCCATGGCCCTGCAGAAGTGGAATCTGAAGACTAGATTCACTTGACAAATATGAAAAATACAAATAATATGGGAAGATTTGTCCAGAGGGAATAAAAGCAAACCCTGGACAACAGAGACACTGACCACAACAACGTAAATTACAACAACAACAATAATAACAAAAGTAATAAAAAAAAAATCTGAAAGCAAATCACACAGAAGAAGAGGTCAGAAGGGGCTGTGGAAGCAGAGTGGTTCCATAATTATTTCAAGTTGATAAACTTTTGAAAAACATAGATTGGGAAGGAAGGGGAAAAGGGAAAAAAGAGGAGGGAAGTAGAGGAAGAGAAAGAGAAAGGAGAGGAGAAGAGAGAGAAAGGAGGGAGAAAAGAGGAGAAGGGAGGGAGGCTGGGGGAGGAAAGGAGGGAGGGAAGAGAGAGAGAGAAGGACAGGGAAAGAGAGAGAGAGAGGGAGGAAGGAAGGAAGGAAGGAAGGAAGGAAGGAAGGAAGGAAGGAAGGAAGGAAGGAAGGAAGGAAGGAAGGAAGGAAGGAAGGAAGGAAGGAAGGAAGGGAGTAGAGAATCTCAGATTACTTACTTATTTTGCAGGGTGGAATCACTTCTAAGCATTCTTTATGTGCCCCAATTCCACATTTAGTGCAAAGATAGCCTTGATAGAAAGTCCCCCTGAACAAGCAAATGGGGAAAAAAGGGAAGGAAAAAAAATGAGACTTTGCTTTTGCCTCTGGGTTTTGCTTAGAAATCTTCTACAAAGTTCTCCCTTGCCTACAGGGATCAAGTCCAAACTCCTCAATCTGGCATTCTACAAGACTCTCTACAATTTGACTACAATCTATGTCTTCCATGATTATCTCCCATTGTTCCCCAAACCAGCTGAGCAAGTCAGCTTATCTGAGCCTCAGTTTCCTCATCTGTAAAATGAGGGGTTTGGATAAGTTGACCTTTAAGATCCCTTCTTGCTCTAAACCTATGATCCTATCCATAAACGATCCCTCCATAAACTTGTCTCCAACCAAGCAGGTCTACTTACTGGCCTCAACCACACCCACCCACTCTCAAATGCTATTTCCATTCCCAGCCTTGCATCTCAGCTCCTGGCTATGTTTCTATCAGGAATACCGGCCCTCCTCCTTCTTCCTCTCTGCCTGTCTAAATTCTACCCCTCCATCAAAGCCCAGCCCTGAATCCTTGAGGTCAGGGCTGGCAGAGTTATGAGCACACAGTGGATTCTCAATAAATATCTCCCAAATGAATGGATGCATTTATTTTTAAACTAACCTTATAGCAGTCCAGACAGTGTTTTAGCTCAAGGACACACTCCCTCAGGGTGGAGAATTTAAAATTTGGCATCACTGCCATGAAGAAATGTTTCCTTTCAAAAAACAATTTTTTTTAAAGCCTACAGAAGAGGAGCAATGAACAATTTTGCATGAAGGTGACTTTAAGTAGAGGAGTGACTCCACTTTGCAAAGTCTTCTGCTGGGAAATTTGCGTGGTGGAGCCGAGCTGTAGTACAGCGGAAGGGGCACTGGATTTACATTCAGAGATTGTTGTTGTTCAGTCATGTCCAATTCTCTATGCCCCCATTTTAGGATTTTTTTGGCAAAGATACTGGAGTGGTTTGTCCTTTCCTTCTGCAGCTCATTTCACAGATGAGGAACTGAGGCAAACAGGGTTTAGTGACTTTCCCACGGTCTCACAGCTAGCAAGTATCTGAGGCCAGATTTGAACTCACGAAGGTGAATCTTCCTGACTCCAGGCCCAGTGCTCTATCCATTGCACCACCTAGATTCAGAGAGCCTGAGTTCAAATCCTGACTCTGCTATTTATCTCCTTTGGCAAGTCTCCTAACCTCTCTGGGTATCAATTTTTCATTTGTTGAAAGGAAGGAGTTGGGATAAAAGAACTCTAAGGTCTCTTCTAGCTCTAAATCTATGAGTTTTCATTTCCTCCCAAATCATCCCGGTGAGTTATACGCTCTCTCTGATCATCCAGAGCAAAAAGGCTAAATGTGGAGGCGTGCTGCTGCTCTGCTGGGCCATGGCAAAGACGTGGCAGGTGTGGGGGGAATCTAGCAGGTGTGGGGCTCCTCTCACCTTAAGAACATCTTGCATGCTTTACAGTTGGTTGTCTTGTCGAACGTGTACATCTGGAAGTTGTGATGGTTTGCATTGGCCTTCTCTGGTTTAATGTTTGACCTGACAAAAGGGGAAGAGAACAGAGGCCACACTGAGTGATACCCTGCCCCCCACTTCCTCAGGCTTGGGGTCATTCCTGCCTTTTGGGGCTTTTTGAGCTCCTTGACTTCTAAAAGACCCAGAGAATGAACCAATTACAGACATAAAACTGGAAAACATCTTAAAGACCATCCTATCCTGGCTCTTCATTTTTTTTAAATAGATAAGAACACTGAGACTCCAAAGGGTTACATGGCTTGCCCAAGGTCACACAGATAGAGCCCAGATTCCAATCCAGTTGCTTCTCTGGCTCCAAATCCCTCACACTTCCTCCTGCACCCCCTGGCCCCCAAAGGGAACAAGACATGTTTCTGTGGGTGGTTGTCAGATGACTGGGGTTCTCATCCCAGGACTACCACTAACTTATGTGTTGGGCCAGTTACCTCCCCTCTCTGGGCTTTAGTTTCCCCATTTGCAAAATGAAAAGTAAGCTAGATGGGCTTTAAGACCCCCTCCTAGCTCTAAGATCCTGTGTTCTTTAAGAACCCAGTCCTAAAAGCCTTACAGTTCACTATGACAGCATTTCCACCCCCTTATTCATCAAATGTGCAAAGATTTACCAAAGTTACAGAAAAGGGGGTTTTGGCTAGACAATAACAGCTGCTAAAATAAACATCTTTGTTTGAAACCCACCCCCAAAACCTGTGGTAGATAGTGATCCCAGGAGAATGTCTCATCCCATGTGGAGTTTGTTTTAGAAGTGTCTGACTCTCAGAGATGGTCTCTTCAGGAGGTCCCTTACGCAGACATGCTGCTTTCAAAATAATTTAAGGCCATCTTCAGAACCCTGTCTCCTCCTGCTCTCCATTGCCCTGAACCCTCTCCCCACCCCAGATGCCACTCAGCATGTCAAAATGGGAGGGGCCAATGCATTCTGCACTGGGACATTCTGATGAGGACACTGGTGGGAGTCCCCCTTGGGGACAGCTGGCCCTCATGGTGCTCACATTGCCATTTCAAACTGCTCCATCCATTTTCTTTTCATGTCTTCGGTCTTGCAGAAAAACTGGAAGCCCTGCTTCCCTTGCAGGTGAATTAAGTAGAACCCGTAAGACCACTGCAATGGTAAACAAGAAATGGTTTCTTCTTTCAGTTGGGTATGAAGTAGGGGTTTTTTTCCCTTCTTTTTAAACTTATGTTCTTTTCTCTAGACACCAACATACTGAGGTGACCTCCCCACAGCTGTCCCCCCAGCCCCCACCTTGGAGGAAACTCCTTGGTACCAGCAAGGGCTTCAACTCAAAATGCTCCTTATCAGATACAGGTTGGTTAGAACCAAGAAGAGGCATGGCATGTCTCCCCTTTCACTCATCCTCACTGGGCTGAACTTCCAGGAACAAGCTGTGACCAAAGCCCAAAGGGCACTGGGTTCTTCTTCATCTCACCTATTTTCACTTCCCAGATGTGGAACCCAAAATGTCACTGTTCTTTGAGGTCAAAAATCAAGAAGAAAGACTACCTGAGGTCAGGACTACCCCACTGCAGGTGGGGAAGTCAGGGCCAGCCTCACTGTTTAAAATGTTGCCCTGCTTCTATCTAGGTACACACCACTATCCCAAATCTTAGGCTCAGCTAAGAAATGCAGCCTGAAGCCCCTGCTTTTTCCCAGAACTCCCGTGGAAAAGAGGATTTTTAAGCATACCTTAATGGGGAAATATCTCCTCACTACAACCCCCACCCCCTCACTTCCCCTCCACACTCACACACCCCTCCCCACCATTAAGTCATGATTGTAGCACTCTGGGAGCATACAAATAGCCAAAGGGGAACACCAACCAGGGTCCCCAAGAGTCAGGGATAGTGGAGAGAGGTGTAGGGTTGGTTGCTTACCATTTTCCCATGTGACTAGAAAGCATTAAGAAGAGGAAAAGTGGGGGGAAGAAGGTTATTACAAGAGAAAGCCCAGATTACCCATATTTCCTGCAAAGCCCCAAGTCATTGCATACTCTTATATTTGAGGGCTGGTGTGCTCTGTAGTTACAGGGATGGAGGATCTGGGAGAAGCCAGAGCCAGGCCCTGTCCCCTGGGCTCTATGTGGCACAGACAGGATTAGGGGTTATGTAATGGTTCTTTCCAATTCTAAAATGTAAAAGCCAGTTATGTACATGCTGTAGCACTTAAATTAGAGGCAGCAGGGCAAAGCAGAAAGATCTCTGGACCTAGAATCTTGAGAGAACTTAGTAGCTTAGTAGCTGGGTAAATTCTCTGAGCCTGTTTCCTCATCTGGAAAGTGGGGATAATGATAAACTGGGTACCTCCCCTAAAGAACCACTGTGAAGAAAGTATTTAGTATGTCTAAAAGGGGTATGAGAATGTCAGTGATTGCTACTGGCAGCTCAGGGAGCACCAGCACCATGCCAAGGGTGTAGAGGCAGTGACTAAAGGAGAGGAAGAAAAAGGGAAGCAGAATGTGCATGTTCTCTTTCCATTAGAGAAAGAAAGAAGAGAAAAAAGTCTTATGGCTTTTCCCCCTCAACGACCCCTTTCCCCCTCCCCTTATTCCATCCCACTGTAGGCAACAAAATCTACAAAGCAAAGAACAGAAGGGGCCAATTCCAGCTTGGTCCTACCAGGTGCCTAAAAGCACACTCAATGAAGACTTCCTCTGCCCTGCTACCTTCTCTCAAAGTAGTCCCCTTTGTTTCTTCATGAAAGAAATAGGCAAGGGGCAGCTAGGTGGCACAGTGGATAGAGCACCGGCCCTGAAGTCAGGAGTACCTGAGTTCAAATCCGGCCTCAGACACCTAACACTCACTAGCTGTGTGACCCTGGGCAAGTCACTTAACCCCAATTGCCTCTCAGAAAGAAAGAAAGAAAGAAAGAAAGAAAGAAAGAAAGAAAGAAAGAAAGAAAGAAAGAAAGAAAGAAAGAAAGAAAGAGGCAAAAATGAACCACTGATTCTAATCACTTACTAGACTGTTGAGTATTAGCCAATATTCCAAATCCTTGACTTAAGCTGCCCCAAGAAGACTGAGACTCAGAACCTCTGGGGTCTAATCTTGACTTTGCTACTAACTAGCCATGTAGACTTTCCTCTTTCTGGGTCCCAGTTTTTCCCATTTGTAAAATGAGGGGGTTGGGTTTGAGGTCCTTTAAACATCTTCCCAGCTTCAAATTATTGCAGTTTATGATTTCAGGGGCCTGGGGAGGGGAGTGAAGAAGGGGGAGTCAAAAGACAAATAAGGGATGCCCACGTGGATAAAGGGCACCTGCCTACCTTCTTGATGTCCTTGTTGTTCATTGGATCATCTGTCATTTTGTGGAAGAGCAGCTCGATGATCTCCTTCAGCTCGTAACTGTAGCCTTTCCTCTTACAGACAATCACCACTTTATCAAACAAAAATAAATACCTGCCTCCATGAGATTTAAAAGAGGAAGATCAGAGAGGTTTCCATTCCAAAGATTCAATTTAATTCATAATAGTGACTGCCTACTATCAACCAAGCAAACATCACTTAATTATTAAGTGCCTACTATGGGCCAGGCCCTGGAGACACAAAGACAAAAAGTACAATAGCTCCTGTCCTTGAGGAGCTTGCATTTCCTTGAGGGAGACAACATATAGGAATATAGAAAAATATAAACAAAATAAACACAAGATAACTGAAGAGGGATGGGAAAGGTGTTAGTAGCTGGGGAGATCAAAAGGCTTCATGCAGAAAGTGAACAAAGATTTGAAGGAAACTAGTCATCTTAAGAGGTAGAGGTGATGAGAGAGTGTGTTCTAAGCATGTGGGACAGCCAATGCAAAGGTACAGATGAGAGATGGAGTGTTATGTGTCAGAAGCAGCAAAAGAGATCAGAGTGCCTGGACCATAGAGTATAGGAAGGGGACTAATTTATAATAAAGCTGAAAAGAGAGGTCCTTGTTGTTGTAAAGTTGTAAAGGGCTTTAAATGTCAGACATAAGCATTTCTATTTGATCCTGGAGGTGATAGGGAGGCTCTGGAGTTATTGAGTAGGGGAGTGATAGGATCAGACCTGCAATTTAGGAAAAGTCTGGCAGCTGTGTGGAGATGGCCTAGAGAGGTGAAGGAGTCAGGGAGATCAAAGAGGAGACAATAGCCGAGATGAAAGGTGATGTGCAGGGCTCTGTGTTGGGGGCAAGGGACATGAAGATGATGAAAAATAGTCTTTATGCTCTAGAAGCTTAAAAACCAGTGGGGAGATGCCATGTTAGAGAGAAGTGAATACAAGGTGGTTTGAGGAAGAAGAAAGAACTAGGGCAGAGTGGGGAGAAGTCAGGGAAGCCTTCTTGGAGACTTCTCAGCCTTGATGGAAGCTAAGGCTTATAAGAGGCAGAGATGAGAAAGAAGGGTCTTTTAGGCATGGAAGATAGTTGATATGCAGTAAGGAAGAGGGAATGCCAAGCTTTGGGAACAGCAGGCAGGCTAGTCTGACCAGAACATGGAGTCATGTGAAATAAGTGGTGTCATTCGAATATCAAACTAGAGGCTGGAATCTATCTGGAGAGAAGAAAGCACGTCAAAATGTTCACAGCAGCTCTTTTTGTAGTGACAGAGAACTAGAGAGTCACCCATCGATTGGAGAATGGATGAGCAAATAATGGAATGAGAATGGAATGAAATATTATCGTGCTGAAGGAATGATGAAGGGATAAGTTCAGAGAAAGCCTTGCATGAACTGATACAGAGTGAAGTGAGCAGAACCAGGAGAACGACTGACCCAATAGCAACAATATCACAAGGACAAAACAACCTGAAAGGCTCAAGAACTCTGATCAGCACAACGACCGACCAGAACTCCAGAGGACTTGTGATGCAATATCCTGCCCACCTGCTGACACAGACGATGGATTTAGGATGCAGACTGAAACATACACGTATTTTCTGTACGTGACCAAGGTAGGAATTTGAAAAAATGAAAGTAAACACTAAAGAAAAGACATAATAACATTACAAAGACAGAGACCTTGAAAGACTTAAGAACTCCGATCAATGCAATGGCTGGTTGACTCCTGAGGACCAATGAGGAAGCATGCTACTCCCTTCTTGACTAAAAGATCAGAAGATGAACTTAAGATGCAGAATGAAACATACATTTTTTGTATTTGGCCAATGTTGGGAATTGGTGTGGCTTGACTATGCTTATTTGTTACAAGGATTTTGTTCTTCTTTTCTTTTCTTTTTTTTTCCCCAACAGAAGGCTGGGGGGAGGGTGGTAAGTTGGAAAAAGAATTAATAATAGAACCTATCTGAGGATGACCAATACAACATTCAAAGACTTAAAAACTGGGAATTCCAACAGCCCTGATTCAGATTGGTAACTAAGTCACTCCCTTTCACTACCAATCATTTAGTTCTTAGCACAGACTGTGTTGTGAGTTATCATTTCATGTATAATATAGTGGAAAGAATACTAGTTTTGGAGTCAGGAAGACCTGAGCTCAAATCCTACTTCCAGCATTTATCACCTGTGTGATCTTGTCACTTAAAATTACATAAGCTTTAGTTTCCACATCAGTAAAAAGGGGGTTGTGGCCCCGGTAGAACCGATTTCAGTGTTGTTGTGAGGCTCCAAAGTGCTACATGCCTTGTCTGTTGTTACTACTGTCTACAGTTACTACTGTTACCACCTAGAGTCCTTCTCTGAGAAGGGAATTCTAAGACTATATGTCTTACTAATTTTACTATCCTCCATAAAGAATAGTAGGTGTGTAGACAATATATGTTGGTTGCTTGATTGACTGAACGTGAACAAGTCGCTCTTTTTTGGATTAGTGAGCTTTGTTTGTTTGTTTTCTTTAAAGCTATAAGAGCTTGGGAGGTAGAGTAATTTGGGGGCAAATGGCTTAAATTCTCAGACTCACTTTTGCATTTACACTATCTGCTTCACAGTGATGTATGGGTGGATAATTATTCATTTGACAGCCATTTATTAGGCGCCTGTGTGCAGATCACTGTGTTTGGTGCTACACAGAGAAATTAAGGGATGCTGTAAGCCTTTGAAGGAGACTGCAAAGTAGTAGGGATAGGTATCATTCAGTGTCTAGCTCTAGGGGGATCCTATTGGCTCCCTCCCATCCGTGCCCCTCATGCCTTTCCCTTGTCCTAGTGGTAAACTCACCTATCTTGTTTGGTATGGTTTACAATGGATCGAACTTTTAATTCCCCATCAATCTTTGGCCTCCCAAATTCTTCCAGTTTGACTTGCTGGGAAAGAAGAGAAAACAACATGAGCCTCATAGTGGTACTCACTCTTTTTGTTTCCTAGAATTCCATCTCAAAAAGGATAAAGGATTGAAAATTTCCCAAGTAGGAAAGGTTTCAAGGGGAAGTGGCTGACAGAGAAGATCCTATGAAGGGATATATGAAGACAAAGGCAGTAGAGCCTTTCTCTTCTCCTTTGAGGATGCAGCTCCTATCTCATATTGCTTCACGTAGCTCTAAAAGCTCATCCAAACCTGGAGAGTTCTTAGGCAGAGCAGAGCTGTGGATGGGGCATTAATAACCCACATGGCTTACAATTCCAGGATACAGCAACAGACCAGATTACCCATCAGCCTCCAGTGTAGTAGTGTGCTCAAATAATGTGAAATATTTCCACCTCTGCCTGAGTCTTCTACCAACGTGTGTTTTCTAAAGGCACTTGTCAGCACTGAGCAGAACAACAAATAGCCTTGTATATCATATGACAGCTCACTGCTGTGGGGAGCACTGGATGTATACGCAGTATAAAATTGCCCAGCTTCCAACGCAGCAAAACAAAATGAAATCAAAAACAGATACTGTGCGTCAGACAGATTTGGGAGGGAAATGAAGTGGGGGATATGTGAGCTAGGCTAGCATCAAACCTTCCACAGAGACTGTCTTCTTCTTCCGTCCAAAGTAAAAACAGTCATGGCAAAAACATCCTCCCTAGTCTTGAGCTGACATTTACATTTTCACCAAAGTCATAACTGTCACTGTCTGTGCTTTGGTTCCAAGGAGGCTTTGTGGGTGATTGAAAAGCCATTCAGACTTACCAAGTTTTCTATAGAACTCTGAAATTCACTGATTTTCTTTAAGGTTTCTTTGTCCCGTTTGACTTCATTTATGTACATCGCCAAGTCCTTCAAAATGGCAAAAGTGATGTTAGTTGGCATGGTCTGGGTACATTGGGAAAAAAAAAATAAACCCCTGACAATATGTCATAATAATGGTGTCTTTAGCTCTGCAACGCATGTTCATACACACGGTGTGACTTAATCCTTATCTATAGAAAGCTTGTGAGGCAGGTAGAACAGGGATCATTATCCCCAAATTATTAAGGAAGAGACTGAAGTAGAGAAGTGAGACAACTGGTTGAGGTCACATTGCTAGTTCACAACATCACAGATTCAAAGGAAGAAGAAGGGACCACAGAGGTCAGCTAGTCCAGTGTCCAACTCAAATAGAAATAGATCCCTGCATCCTTGTGGGCCACATATTAACTTAGAAAATCACAAATTAACATTATCTATGTTGTACTGTATTTTTAGTTTATTTTGTTAAACATTTCCAATTACTTTTAAATCTGGTTCAGCAGGTTGTGAATTTATCACCTCTGACCTAGTCCAACCTGCTTTTAACCCTCCTCCTCTGCCTCTTCTTCCTTCTCCCCATCATCTTACCCAGCCCTGTGATTTCAGAAGTAGAGGGAACTCTTGATTAGGAATTCTTTTTACAAATAGAGATTGGTATCTTTTTTTTTTTAAAACCAATTTATAATCTTAAAGTGTTATCTGGAAGAATAATAATAGCTATCACTTATATATTTGCATATGTAGCAAAATCTTTATGAATGTTAGCTTATTTGATCCTCAAACAATCCTGTGGGGTAGATGCTATTATTACCACTCCCATTTTACAGGTGAGGGAATGGAGGCTGAGAGGTTAAGTGACTTGACCAGGGTCACATACTTAGTAAGTCTCTGAGGCAGGATTTGAACCCAGGTCTTCTTAACTCTAAGAAGTTAAGAAATGACTTATCCAAGGTTACAGAGGCAGCAAGGGACAGAGTCAGGATTTTAACTCTCATCTTTTGATTCCAACCCTAGCACCCCTTCCCCTGAACTAAATGGAAACTAGAATATAGAATCCCCTGACAAGATCCAGGGATCTTCCCACTGTATAAATTCTCACAAAATTTTAAATCAATTCAACTTAACAGAAACTTATTAACTACCTACTATGTATGTGCAAGGCAAAACTGGGGGGAGGGGAACTTTTGCTTAATTAAAACAAAATGCTGCAAAATTAACACCAAGATTGATCAGATTCTTAAAAGGATATGTGTGCATGTGGGAGGTAGAGGGAAGCATTTATAAGTAGCAGAGGACCTAGACAAACTTTCTTGAATGACCATCTCTGACCTTGGGCAAGACAGTGAACCTTAAGGGACTTGAATTTTCCCAAGTCACTCCAGGGTATACTCCAGGCACTGAATTTAATTTGACAATCAGCAGGACCTTATCAAAATGACTAGTAGATTATAATCTCCTTGAGAGTAGAGTCTGTGCTATCACCTTTGTGTGTATGCTCAGCAACAAACACCAAGGCCTGGTACCAAGCAGGGAATTAAACAAGCTTTTGTGGAATTAAACCACATCTGAAAGTGTGGCACAGATGCAGATCTCCTGGTTGACACTAGAGGGCACTGTGTCCAACCAAGAATTTAGATTCTACATTCTTTCCTTGGAAAGTTTGCAGAGCCGACCCACAGACTTTTCATTCAGCTACAGACAAGCTGGGCATACAACCAATTCCATCTAATTTCATCCTCTGGAGAAGGCAGCAAGGCCTGAGTGTAAAATCCGTAAGGCAACATTGCTCATCCTGGTAAGCAATTGTCAGAACTCCCAGAAAAGTAACCAAATGGAAAAATAGCCAACTGAGCATCCTGGGGGCGGGACCCAGCTAATCCCATCACTTATCGCACCAGGGGTCTGTCCTGCCTGTTCAGGTTTCTGAGCAGAACTTCTAGTGCGCCAAGATAGCTTACGATATATGGACCTTATTAAACTGCACAGAAGAAATATTCTACAAGAGAGCTGTGAATTTTGGTGCAGTAGAAAGAACACTACTAATCTTGGACTCAGAGGACCTGTGTTCAAATCCCAGCTCTATCTCATACTGCCTGTGTTAACCTTGGACAAGTTACTTAACCTCTCTGGGCCTTTTTCCTCATTCACAAAATGAAGAGGTTGGACTACATGACCTCTAAGGTACCTCTCTATTCTAAACCTATGATCCTATAGATTGTATTTTCTCCTGGTTTTCATTTTAAAGTCAGAGAAGAAGCCTTAATGATAGGCTGAGGTTTAGCAATGAAAGAGGCCCTAGAAACTAGATGGTTTATACCATAAGGGAGGGCCTAATTTGCTGGCAGTTCAAGTGAGGAACATAAGGAAGTATTGGTATAAGTCAACAAAGTGAAACAGCTGCTAAAAAAGCTAATACTACCTTAGACTGAATTAATAAAAGTCTAATGTTCAGATCAGGACAGCTAGATAGCGTGGTGGCTAGAGTGCCAGACCTGGAGTCAGGAAGACCTGAGTTTGAATCAGGCCTCAGACACTCACTAGCTGTGTGACCCTGGGCAAGTCGCTTAACCCTGATGGCCTCAGTTTCCTCATATATAAAATGAGATGAAGAAGGAAATGGCAAATCACTCCAGTATTGCTAAGAAAACCCCAAAATGTAGTCACAAAGAGCTGGACATGACTGAAAACAGCTAAACAACAACAATGTTCAGATCAATGGAGGTGACAGGCATTCATTCAGCAACCATTTATTAAATGTCTGTGTATAAAGCACTATACTAGGCATTAGGAGTGAGACACAAAATAAATAGGACACAGTCTCTGCCTTCATGAAACTCACAGTCTAGTAAGGGAACAAAACACAAATACAGATTTTTGCATGTTGTTCCTAGCCCCCTCTCAACCTCCTACAATTCTTAAGTCCCTTGAGGGCAGGGCTTGCATTTTGTCTTTCTTCGTGGCCTTAGTGCCTAGCACAGATGCTGGCACACACTACCCCCTTAACAAATACCTGTTGACAGATGAATAGATGTGATACACAATATTACATGGTAAGCGCACCTGAGGAGCACGCAAAGGGAAGTGCCATGTGAATGCCCGGTGATTTGGCCACATCTGGGGAACTGTGCTCAATTACGGAAGGCAAGTTTTCTTTTCTTTTCTTTCTTTTTTTTTTTTGGAGGCAATTGGGGTTAAGTGACTTGCTCAGGATCGCAGAGCTATAAGTGTCTGAGGCCACATTTGAACTCAGCTCCTCCCGATTCCCAGGCCGGTGCTCTATCCACCGTGCCACCTAGCTGCCCCGGGAAGACACGTTTTTTTAAAGAATTACTGACAGACTGGACCAACTCCAGAAGGACCAATGGGGTGAAGAAAGGTCACGTAACCATGGAGAGAGTGCTAGACTTGGAGCCAGCAAGACCAGGGTTCAAATCCTACTTTTGATGCTTGGTGAGCTATGTGAACCTAAGTTAGTCAATTAACTTTTTGGAACCTCAGTTTCCTCCTCTGTACAACAAGGAAGGCGGGCTAGACAGAATCTAAGGTCCATCACTGCCCTAGGCTTATGATCTTACCGCCTTACAGACAAAAGTTGGAAGAACCGGGGGGTGTTGAGTCTGAAGAAGCACAGGCATGAAAGGACAGACTCAGCATCCTCAGTTATCTGTAGTGCTGCCCCGCAGGGAAAAGGGTTAGATTTAGAAGGACTGCAGAAGTTTCCTGAGCCGGTAGGGGCTGTACTGGATAACCTATGTCATCGTCCTTTCCTTTCCTGTGGCTGTGTGATTCTGCCCCATGGGGCTAATGAGGGTGAGTGGGTAGGAGTCATAAGGAAGCAGATTGCCACTCAAAATAAGGAAGAGATACTCCATCAAACCACCTCTTTGTAAAGTGACTTCTGGGGCACTGAAGAGAGTGACAAACTTGGAGCTGTGGCATCCGAGTTCAAATCTCACACAACTGGCATGGTCCCAAAGCAGGACTGGTACCCCAGGTCACTCCGTTTGTTCAATCACGGGCTGCGTGGCTACCCATCAGAGATGTCCTAGAGGGGAATTCCTGTGAGGAGTGAGAAGGCTGGACAAGATGACCCCAAGGTCCCTTCCAATAGTACAGTTCCGTGACTTCTACACCGCAGTAACATAATCAGAATCGTTATTGTCTCTCCACCACACTGAAAACACACACACAGACACACACGCGCGCACGCACGCCCTCTTCTCCAAAGCCTTTAATTTTTATTTATTTTTTCTTAATAATGGATTCAACTTGAATCTCCCTTCACAGCCTAGGGGCCCCTGAACTTGTCCGAACAAAGGGACCTCATAGCTGAGACTGTAAAGTGTCGGATAAAACCATAATATCTTTCAGACAACATTCACTTAAAGGACTCCAAACATCTCTCTCTCTTAGCTAAAGGGCTGAAGCTTCTAAAAGGTCGGGCAGTAGTCAGGTGCTTCTGTGAATCAAAATTAAGTCTTTTACAGGAGGTATAGAATCCTATCGAAACAAAGGGAAGGGGAAAAAACACATCCAGGGGCCAGACCTGCCCGTCAAGGAAAAGTATTTATGCAAAGAAGACAGGGTTTCAGATACTGAAGCTGATTTCAGTTCTTCTGATGAACTTCAGGCTAAAGGGGTGGCAGGGAGAGAAAAAGTAAGAAATGTGATTCTGTGCTCTGCGAACTAAACCACTTATAAACTATCTCTGGGACTGACTGACAATGATGAGAAACTTGGGCCCAAGAGGGCTAGTGTGTGATCCTCTATTCCTGGTCAGGACAAACCTTCCTGCTTAGACCTTACACCACACTTTGTTATGTAGTTCTCTAATAAAATCATTATTTATCATTAGTTGGAAAAAGTTGCTAGGTTTGGGGTCTGGAAATCCGGGTTCAAATTCTGGTTCTTGCACTTAATAGCTGTGAGAATGTGGACAAATCACTTCATCTCTCTAAGAGATGCTCAATTTCCCCATCTATAAAATGCTCATACAACCCTTTCATAGGGAGAGTGTAAGGTAAGCATTTTATATAGCCTAGAGTGACACAGAATTGTAAATGAATGAATGGTGCAGGGGAAAGGGCACTGCATGTGGAGGCCAAGGACATGGGTTCAAATCCTACCTCTCACCCACTAGATGTGAGACCTTGCAAAATGGATTATAATAATATCAATAATATCTGGCATTTATATAGCACTTTAAAGCTTTCAAAGAATTCTATATAATCTCACTTGATAACTCCTATCTATAATCTACACACATACATACCCCCATACATAGTCCAGACCTGTTATTTCACCTGTGGGGGCCATACATGGTGAGGAAAGATCTTCTGATTCACATCAGTGACTTATCTGTAACTTGTCTTCTTAGAGAGTTGCCTTGGGGTGGGGGTGAGGGTTCCACACTGAAAGGCTGGTCACGTGGCCAGGGTGTTTGAGAGGCATAGATCTAGATCTGAACCTGGGTCTTCCTGAATCAAGGCCCACTCTCTATCCACTAGGCCACACTACCTCTCCTGTATCATAGAGCATGCTCACCCACCCATGTATAGAGAGATAGGGACTGGGCTTCTTACTTCCTGGGAGGGTAGAGAATTCCTTTGTTAATGCAAGTGCACACTCTCCCAGCAACTTCCAGATTTAGAGATTTGCCTAGAGCAATGAGAGGTTAAGTGATTCACCCAGGGTCACACAGCCTCTGTGTGTGTGTGTGCGCGCGAGCGTGTGTGTGTGTGTGTGTGTGTGTGTGTGTGTGTGTGTGTGTGTGTGTGTGTGTGTGTGTGTGCGTAGAAGAGGGAGAGAGGAAGAGAGAGAGAAAAGGTGGGAACTGGACTTAGCTCTTTCTGGCTCTGAGGCCAGTTTTCTTTCTACTACTTCATGCTGCCTACACACACACACACACACACACACACACACACACACACACACACAATTTGTTATATCTATTGGTGTCTTATTCCTCTACCAATCTTATTCCATAAATACAGAGATTACTGTTTATCTTATCATCCCTAAACCTCTCAACTCACACATTACTGCAGGTTTTGAATAAATAAATGATGATGGTGGTGGTACGTTTATATGTAGGGTGTGTGTGTGGTATGTGTTTGTGTATGCATGTGTGTACTCGTGTGTTGGGGAGAGAGGAAGGTAAGTTAGAAGATTTCTCCTGCAGGTGGATTCTCTGTCTACCCGCTGCCTCTCATGAGGCACTTCCCTTGTTACACTACATTGAGCTCCAGATAATATGATACCCCGGGCTTCCAAGAGCCACTTTGCAGTGATGGGGAAGCTGACCACCACAAGCTCACTATATATAACGCACTATGCTAAAGGTCCTGCCTTCTCTGTGAGAATGTCTTACAACAAGACCTGTTCGTCTTGCTGAGTAACTGCAGTCCCTGGTATGGAATCCAACACAGACTCATCTGGTTCGTAAGTCTGCTGACTAGAGAGAAAATGGTTCTAAAGCAGGGTTTTTTAACCAGAAGTCTACTGTCCCCCCCCAACAAAGCGTCAGTTGATAGATTTTATGGGGTCCTTGGATATGATGGGAAAGAAATTTCACCTCTATTTTTACCAACCTTTGGTTTCCTTGGCAATCCTATATATTTCATTTTATGCATTTAAAAACATTCTGAGAAGGAATCCATAGGCTTTACCAGACTTCAAAAAGTTGCAGGCACAACCCACAAAAAAGGTTAAGAATCCAATCCCTGTTCTAAGGGTAGTCTTGCTCTGATTTCTGGTGTTCCTTATGACTTCTCAATAGAGAGTTGGCTCCCATCCTAATTAACCCAGCTACCTGCATGGCCTCCAGTGCTTCCTTGAGCTGCTGCCTCTCGGGACGATCCGCAGAGTGGCTGAGGAGTTCCTAAAAGGGTTGAGGAAGTGTTATTAATCCCCTGTTTCACACACCACTGTCCTTACCACAATTCTGGAATTTTGCACTGCATGGCTCTAGTGACAGGACTTCCCACCTACCCACCAACCTAGAAGCATATTTCAGGTTGACAGATTAGCTCCTAGCGGGCAAATCAAAAGCATTTGATTATAAACCTGAACTTTTTGTATATTTCCCAAATTTTGTGTCAAGTTGATCCAGAGTAGAGCCCCAAAAGAGGCAATATATTCCATGTTAAGCTAACAAATGCATGATGACTTTGCTTTAAATCACTCACACTGTGTGATCTGTCTACCAGGTAGTCTTCATTCTCAGGGTCCTTTGAGGGCCAGTCTCAATCGGAGGTCTGTGGTTGAGGGATACTTACCTTCAGGAGGAGGTGATATTTCAGAACCCGTTGCATTGGCACCACTAGCAGATCTTGCAATTTAAACTTCCCATCTTGGACCTTCAAGGTGCATTCCTAAAAGTGACCATAAAGGAACAAATGTTGGGAATCTAATTTTGTTCAAGGAAAAGTTACACCATGTCCCACTATTCCTCTGCAGACCTGGGGTAAAGAAATAAATTCTGGATTGAAGCCCAAATGTCTTGCACACCTCTCATACTTAGATCTCTCCATTAAAGGATGAACCTATTGATTAATTCCTCTAATCATAGAATCTTAAAGCTGAACTGGACCTTAGAATGTGAGAGCTACATAACAGAATGTCAAAATGACATTTAATGACTTATTTTACAGTTAGGAAAATGGAATCAAAAGTACTCTCCCCCCTCACCCCATACACACACATTACCCACAACTGTATTACCTCCACTTTTTGCCTGAAATCTTCTCGATTGGCAATAAGATGGTTCAGAGTGTTCTGGGCATACTCCATATGGCTGCAGTATTCCCCATAGATCAGTAGCCTGAAGGGAGCAAAACACCAACAACACACACACACACACACACACACACACACACACACACACACACACACGAAATCACAAATTAAATAATAAACACTTGACATCACCTCCAACTTCCTTCAAAACTCAGCTCAAATCCTACCTTTGGTAGGAAGCCTTTCCTAGTGCCTAGGGCCTCTGAAATTACCTTCCACTTACACTGAATATATATCTTGTACATACATAGTTGTTTGCATGTTGTCTCCCTCATTATAATGTGAAATTCTTGGGAGTAGAAACTATATTTTCACCTTTCTTTGTATCTTCAGCACTTCATATTTAGGACATAGTAAGCATTTAACAAATGCTTGCTGACTATTAAAATTGTGTCTGTGTGAACATGCATTTATGTGTATAATGATACACACATATTTGCAATGAGCCATAATGTAATGGTTTAACGATATTATTTATAGTTCTATTTTTATATGCCTAAAACTTTTCCTTATAAGAATAATTGGGCCTGGATCAAAGAAAATCTTCAATATTTACCCCTGCCTTTCTCCCTGTCCCCCAGGGCTGGGCAGTGCCAGTTGTAGATGGCCTGATGCTCTCTGCCCCAGGTTCCTGAGGATCTGTCTAATATTAAGAATAACTTGACCGGGATCATGGGAATCACTTGTGTTGAGCAAGTCTTCTTTCCTAAACGGCCTGTTCATTGAGTCTCTTCTGAACCCACTCCTGATTCACCCTTATTCATTTCTCTAAGACTCATGTCCCTGAAGACTGCAGTATGTAACTTTTAAAAACATATAGCTTTTCTTGCAGGGTCTTGAACGCAGATGAGACAAGTATGAAAGAGTAGATTCTCACCTTGAATCCATGTGTCAGGAAAAACTAAGTTTGGGGGCTATGAGACTATTTGGTTTAGATATTTTCATTGGTATAATACTTGCTGCCTCTCAGGCCTGACTTTCTAGGAAAGTGTTTGGTCAGCATCATATCGATGACCATACCCTGCCACAAATCAGTTGCTGCTGTGGATTTCATGAACCCTGGCTGGCTGATCTGGGATCACCTTCTGCATTGTTCTTCTCCCCAACACCTGGGTCTCCCACCCCAAGGCCAAACTTCTCTACTCAGCTTTCAGAGCTTTCCACAAAGTGGCCTGACACTACTTAACCCAATCCTACTTCCCCTTCTTCCCTCTGGAACCCCTACTCTTCTTCCTTCTAATCAGGTTAACCAAAAAATTCAACAGACTTGAATAATGGATCTAATTTAAAAGGATGAAATTTAATAGGAATAACTGTAAATTCTTGAAGTTGGATTCTAGATGCTCATACAACCTTAACCTATACAAGTACAGGATTAGCAAGGAATAGAGACTGAGTTCATGTGAAGAAGAAAAAAAAAGATCTGGGGCCTTTGAGAATTTCAAGATTGATATCAACCAATAATATGACACAATAGCCATAAAAATCAACACTAATTAAAGTGCATTAAGGCCATTATAGTGGCCAGAATGGGGGAGGTGACATTCCCACAGTCCTCTGCCCTGGTCAGATTCTATCTACAGTACAGTATTTAGTTCTGGGCCACACACTTCAGGAAGGACACTGAGAAATTGGAAAACATGCAGAAGATAATGACAGGGTAGTGATAGTCCTTGGGTTCTGTCATCGATGAGTCACTTGAAAGAACTGTGACTGCTTAACTTGAAGAAGAGGAGAATGTAGAGAGGACTTGCAGGCTATATTCAAGACTCTAAAGGACTGTCACATGGAAGAGGTTTTTCATTTCTTCTTGGAAGTCAGACTTAGCAATGGGCAAAAGTTGTAAAAAAGCAGGTAAAGATTTGGTAGGATGGGAAACTTCCCACTGATGGGAGCTGTCCAGCAGTAGACAAGGCTACCTTTTAGAAGGTGGCAAACTCCCAACCACTGGAGGTCTTCACGCAGAGGACAAGGAGCTGCTTGTCAGAGATGCTGCACTGGGGATTCAAGAAACAAATTCAGATTGTACTATTCTTCCTTCTTCTCCTTCCTGAGTCAAGGGATACAGGTCAGGGAAGCTGTGACCATCAGATTAGGAAGCACAAATGCATTTGCCCTTGCAGGCAGGTCCTCATGTACCACATAGCTGTGCATCAGGGTATGATCCAAGGCACTGGAATCAGGAGTATTTCTGACATCCCCTCCAACTCTGAAATGCTGGACTCCTTACCACCATTACCACCACCTTTGCTTATTCTGTTTCTTCTTCTTGCTCGGAATGCTTTCTCCTTATTCATTCCCTTCCCCCTTCCTCTCTTGCAGAAAACCCTCCTAACAATTCCAGCCCCCTGTACTTTTTCCTTCCTCTGAACGCTTTCAGTAACTGGAATCTACACCACATAATCAGCACTCACGTCTACATTGTCACATCCTTTTGTTTTCTTGGTTGTTCATGGGGTTTTTTTCCTGACTAGATTGTAAGTTCCTTGTGGGCAGGGAGACCTTCCTTTTCTTCTCTTCCCTTCTATAATGCACCTAGCACACAGGAGCTCAATAAGTGCATCAGTACTGAATGTTTCCCACTCTAGTGCTACAACTACTCCATGGAACTGTAGTCCTAAAATGTACTTCCAAAAATGTACTCTTCTTCCTTCTCCCTCCTTGGTCAAGGGATACAGGTCAGGAAAGTTGTGAACATAAGATTAGGAAGTATAGATGAATTTACCTTGCAAGTATCCCTTGAAGGCTCCAGGCCTTCATGTACCATCCATCTGTGCATCATAGTGTGATCCAAGGCCCTGGCTGGAATCAGGAGGCATTTGATGGAATGGTTAGGCTCTGTGGACAAAGGCCTGGAGGCTTTCCATCTATGCCTGTATCCTGGGAAAGCTAGGAACAATGTCTGGGAACCCAAACAAGATGATCTCATCATTCTTTCTCCATCTCTAATTATGATTATGTGGCTTACACTAAAATTGGCTTATGAAATATAGTCTGAAGGCTGCAGCTGGTATGACTTTTTCTTGAGGCCTGTGTTGGGGGGGGGGAGTGGACTGGGTCTGAGTAAGTGCTTAAGGATATTAAAAAGTCCACTCTGAAGTTGAATGAGCCCCAGATTTCTGTGCTATATCAAAGCTGAAAGATTGCTTCCTAAACCCATAGGCAGACAACCCCTAAACAGTAACACCAATGGTCAGTCCTGGAATACACTTTGAGATCAAAAGCCTTTCAGCTTTTTTCCTCAGAAAAGGAACTTCTACATTATCCAAATAACCCTTTACTTTAGTTGAGGAAACTGAAGCCCAAAATGATTAAGTGGCTTTCCCAGGGTCACACAGGTCATATAACCATGGATTTAGAGCTAGAAGGGACCTTAAAGACCAATCTAATCCAATCTCCTCACCTTACAATTTTCATCTGGCAGTTATCTGTTGATTAAGTTAATACAAAGAACAGATCCAGTGAGGTTAAGTGATTTTCCTAATGTTTTACAGGTAACATCAGAAGTAGGATTTGAACCTCTGGGAATCCAGAGTCAGTGCCCTTTCCATGGTACCATGCTAATTCTTCCTAGGCATTAGTAATAGCAGGGCCAAGTTTCAAACACTGGCCCTTTTGACTTCAAATCCGATGTTCTTTCCCTTCCACTCACTACTTTGCCTCTAGTGATGTCATCATTTCACACACAACAAGTGTATAAGGTTGCTTGAGGGCACGGGTGGCATTTCTTGAGAGGCATTTCCCAGCTCTCTACAAATGCACAGCATACACTGTGCATGCATGGAAGAAACTGCTCCTTCTGCCCAGCACTTCTCACTTGCTGTCATGTCTGGCTAGGCTTGACTTTGAAGAAGCCACTGTGTGGCGGAGAATGCAAAAAGTCAACAGGAAAAGACTTGGCAGCAAAAGATCCTGTCTTGTCTAAAAGTATTTAGTGAAATATAAACTGCTTCACAATATGGTGGCAATGTACAATGTCACTATTGCTGCTCGAATCTGCTTTTCACAGCTGTGCAGGAGGTTCTGCCCAGGAGCTGCCTAGGACAGGAATCTGACCCTTGGCTTTAGTTCAGGCAAACATGCTATTAAACTGGGAATTTTGATGCAGAGGTTGATTGAAAAAAACAACAACCATACACTCAAAATTCTTCAGATTGGGAGGATTTTTCTTTTCAGAGCATAAGCAAAAGTTTTAGTGGCTTCCCATATGGGGAATGGGGAGGACTTAAACAGCTGCCAGCCCAGGAAAAGTCCTTTACTCCAGATTCTCCACCCTCTGCCACTGGCACTCCAAACAATATCCAGTTTGCTGCCTGTCTCTCTAATGCCCAGATGGCCGTATCTGGGCAGACCAAACCGAATCAGGTATTAAATGTCACTGAGTCGCCCATTCCTATCTCCCTGTCTCTCAGGAAATCTGGAAACCTTCAAGGCAAGAAAGGCACAAGAGGATACACAGAACTCTCCCAAGTCTTAGGAAAGCTGTTACAATCATATTGATCCTTAGGGTTTCCTCCCCCATCTCTCCTCAGGTACAGCCACCCTCCAACCTGTCAGCTCTCCCAGTTAAAAAGGTCCTGTCAATACTCCAAGGCACACCCCTACTTCCTGTTGAGAAGGGGAATTCCTAAAATACACCATGATGAAATCCTGACCTCGACCCTAAGGAAATCTGGCTTTTGGAGAAAAGCAATGAAAGAAACTAATAACAGAAGGACTTTCCAAATCACTTAAGTATCTCTGATCTCATTGACGCCACTGTATTGTGTTAGGTAGACTCCCAATACTCTAACTTTATAATCTGATCTATCTGTAGTATAGGTAAGTCATTCACTATTACAAAATACAGCCTATCCAGGCTTTCTCATCTACTCTAGAGATTTTCTCCATAGAATCTTCCCTAAACCTTCCATAACATTCTGGGTATATGGTCCTGTCTGACTGACTCCTACTCCATAGTCCTCCTTTTTGACTTACTCACAGCTGAGTAGCAGAAGGCTAGAACACGCAGACTGCCATCTTGAA